GAAAAAGTTGGGAAATTTTGGGCCGTGATGATAGAAAAAAAGAATAGTAAGAGAATGAAAAAAAATAAAAATGAGAGAAAAGAAAGGGAGAGGTGATAAGGGAAAGAACCAGGAGAAGGTTGGGATTTCCCAACATGCATAACTTGGAGATCCCATACTTTGAAATTGAGTTGTTTGAAAACTTCAAAAAAGTCCAATTTCTCCCAAGTAAGAGAACAGTCCTGAACAGTCCACAAATTCTGAAGTGACAGTTTTACAATTCCCAACTTTTCGCTGTTTTTTCGACTTGGAAAAGTTGGGAAATTTCGGGCCGTGAAGATAGAAAAAATAATAGTAGAAAACAATAAGCACAATATTATTTGAGTGTTGTTTCCTTTCATTTGTATTGAATATTCCTATACATGGTGATATGGTGGAAGACCAAGGACCTTGGTCCAAAGTAGAATAGTTCCCATTATTATTTTTATAATCACCGAAATTTATTTTTGTTTGTGCATACCCTAACGGGCATAAGCATTCAGCCAATCTTTGGATAGCTAAGTAAGAAAATTAATTAATTATAGTAGTAACAAATCCCTCGGCTTTCATTTCTTCGAAAGTTGGGAAATTTTGCTGGTGAGGTTGGGAAAATTTCGATTCCCTCCCCCCCCCTGGGCGACGGCCCTGTCGCGCTTGTATGCTAAAATGTGCCAAGGCACCGTCATGTATGAATCACATTCCATTTTGTAGTCTAAGCGGCGCATCTTCCAGTAAAATAGGCAAATCTTCTTCAAGAAAACGAAGATATCCTTCTCCGTTTGATCTTCCCGGAATAAAGAATGGGCCTATAAAATAATCTCCAAGGATACCTGCTCACACTTTAAGAGGGAACTGTTCTTGAAAATTGTGATTCCTGTATCGCATGGGGGTTTTCGTCTGACCACGAATGATTGTTGAGAAAATTACGTATAGCGTTGCGTTGCGTCGGTGAACAGGATTTAATTTTCAAATTAAGGATTTTGAATAAGGCGTTGGAGAAGCCAACGACATTAGTCGATACATACCAGAACATGAGAAATGTTTAGCGTCGGACTATTTTTCAGGAGCTTCCGTAAACCGAATGTGAATTTTCGAAAAGGTTTTTCAATAAGGAAAGAAATATTTTGAAATAAATTTCTAAATATTAATCTCTCCCAACTACCTAAACAGTGAGGTGTGGTAAACTTCTGTCGAAAAACAACTACTTCCCAGGCTAATACCACGGGGTATTACCTCTAGTCAGTACAGGAAAGATCCTATCCAGACAGCAAAATATCTGGGACTCGATTAATTTCAACACGACTCTGACATATATGAAACATTCGTCTGAGAGAAAGAGATTGTTAACTAGTAACAACTCCATCTCTTGAATAAAGCCTCAAGCGGAAAAGAAACATCCCATATATCAAAACTTAAACGCTTGGGGCTCTGTTCATGAGATGGAATTGTTACTAGTTAACAATCTTCCTCTCAGACGAAGATTTCACATATGTACCAGAGCCGTGTTGAAATTAATCGAGTCCCAGACACTTGTCTGGATAGGATCTTTCCTCTACTGACGAGAGGATATACCTCGAAACCGCGGTGTGCAGGTGATCTACTTGAATAATTTCAACATGGTCCTGCTGCTGGATGAACAAGAAACATTTGCAAGACTAGCCTCTGTGCGAAATCTTGCATAAATATCTGTCGGATATAATTAAATATCCTGCATGGTATTAGCCAGTGAAGTAGTTGTTTTTCGACGTTTACCACACCCTACTGTGTAGGTAGTTGGGAGAGATTAATATTTCGTTATTTTCTTATACGTTTGTATATCTCCTCGATAGTTTTCACTGTTGATTTCTGTAAGGTTTTTGAAGTAACAATTGTGCGGGTAACGTTTAGCTTCATATGCATTCCCGTTAGCAAGTCCGTATGTGAAATGTATGTCAGAATACTCTGCATTGGTGAAGTTTACCGTTTTCAAACAAATGATCACACTATACAGGGTGTTGCTGGATTTCCTCCTTTACTCTCGGGAATGTATAGATGAGAAGATGAGGTCAAAATATCATCAGATATTTCCTTCGTTACCAAAATACGGACCCTCAAAGTTACAAAATGAAAAATCTTTTTCTATGATAACTTTTCAAGTGAATATACAAAATCAGCCAAATTTTGGTGATTAACTAAACAAATGAATTGCTGTGATGAGCTTTCATGCAAGAGTTAGTTGTGCTACAAAGTCAGGAACGGACTACCCCCGATGGTCCACATGACAAAACTTTGATATAACAGATATCCAATATCTTTCAACAAAATCAGGTTTAATAAACAATTTTCAGAATAAAAGTACTAGTACGAAAAATAGATCGGAACAACGATTTTTGATAAAAATGCACTTTTGTTCATTTTGAATGAAAATGGAAATGATAGGTGAAAGGTTCATAACGATTCATAACTTAATGCAAACACGTTAACTTAACAAAACTCATGGTGTAAATATCAATCGTAAACCATTGGTAGCGAAATTCACAATGAATTTTTTACAAAGTGTCCGATATTACACAAGACGATTCCTCAGGTATTTTCCATGTAAAAAATTTCACATAAGCATCGGTCCCCAAGGTTTTCATGCGGTGGAAGCTACCGCAACTCTTCTAAATATTTTCGATTCCCTTGTATAATGATTACCAATGAAGGTGTATGAAGTTGAATATCAACAATTTGAACTTTTTCATGTTTTTGTTTTTCGAAAAAGCAAGCAATTCAATAATGAAGATAAGACTTAAAACCCAAAATACCAATATATGTATACTATAATGTCATAAACAATTTGATAAGTATTGGAATTCCTATTTCTAAACTATTCTGAAATGAAACTGATAAATGAGGATTATTTGCTAACAACCAAAATGATAACTGTGTAAATTCAACCTGTCTAGTTTCGGGAGTTTTCAGAAAAACATTGTTGTCTATTATATGAAACCCATCCACGGTGTAGATTTTGAAAGCCAATCCATCAGTCAATAGACTTGAAAAAAGTATTGTAATTTCATCAATTCAATGCTTGATTTATTTCAATCGGTTCATAAATTAAAAAGTTATGACAGTTTCAGGAATCACATTAATCATTTATTTGTAATGCACTGTTTGGAACCTTTGGGGTAGTAATGAATATTACGGTAATCATTTGTTAGGAAAAAAACTATAGAAACTTGGGTTGACTAGGTTTATGATTTGAAAAACGTTTTTTTTCTACATCAAAGATACGCAAATGATGAGAACTGTTTGCTTAGAAGATGCAGGAAAGACCCAAAAACGGAAGTCCATGCAAATGAATTCGCGGGCATCAGCTAGTTTGAAATACAGTTAGTTATCTTGAAATCAGCCAAAAGGTATAAGACGATTATCATGAACTATCGCAATTAAACTCCACTAGCGATACGCCCCGATTGATTTCGCACGGTTAGCTAGACATTCTTCAAAGATAGACAAACGCTATGTCAGATTTTTTGTAGACCTAGAGAAAGAATCACACCATACTTTGTTTTAGCAGTTGAATTCAATTCATTCACCTTAGGTTAGGTTAGGTCCGAAGTGAGTGGTCTATTCAACCCTCCACCGCAACCCGCAAGGGTTTATTGTGACTCACGCCTATTCACACTCGACCAAATAAACCCAGCTTCTTAACGAAACCATTTAGTATGCATGGTGAGTGGTCTTTCAGGTTAGATGTTAAGAATACGGCTCTGCCGAACTATAAAAACCTGATTCGGTTCCTAGCGGGGCAGGCACAAAGTATGTGTTCTGCTGTTTCATCATTTCCCAAACAGAGACGACACACACTCTTCCAATAGTCCGACTCCCTGCATGTAATTATTCAAATGACAGTTACCTGTAAGAAGGCCTGTTAGATAACGTAGTTCATCCCTACTGTAGTCCAACAACTGTTTGGTATCAAGCTTCGAAAGGTGAATAAACGCCTTGGAGTGAGCCAATCCTGAAAGATTCTGCCAGAAGTCCATAAATCTTTGTTTGGCAAAGGTTCTGGTCCGATGAAACTGCTTGCAACACCCTCCTTTGCAAGATAGTCTAGCCTCATTGCCTTCCAGGCCAGTGTGGCCAGGAATCCAGACCAGAGACAATCTGTTAAGTTTTCCTATCGAGGAGAGTCGTTTTTGGCAATTTGCTACCAATTTAGACGTTGCTCCGTAGGAGCCAAGAGCTTCCAACTGCGCTTGACTGTCCGAGAATATTTTTATTGACTTGTGAATGAGGTTGGATTCTTCCAATCTCTTCGCACACAATTCAATATAGTAAATTTCCGCTTGAAATACAGTCACATAGGTTCCTAGGCAAGTTGATATCTCTGTCCACCTTAAAACGATTCCTGCTGATTAATGCAAAATCAACCTAAAGTTATAGGTTAGTTTTGTACACAGTTCGTCGATCATACGTGCCTATCATTCGTGATGCTACTTCAAAATTTCGTTAGAATATAGTTGAACTACAAATGAATATTAACGAAAAGGATTAAATCATGATTATGACTTATGACTGAATATGTGATGAGACTGTACCATGGGAAGCCCCGTAAAAGTGTATATTTGGGACAAATGTACCTAATTCTAGTTATACAAAATGAAAAATTCTAATTATAGCAATAAACTGTGAAGCTGGAATCGCGATTTCTCAAACTTTTGCTACTACAACAAGTCTTATAGAATACAATTTGTTTTATAAAACTACATATATGAACATTTGATCTGCTGAAAATATCTAAATGTTCATAATATACTGATAAAGAAAAATTACCCTGAAAACAATAATTTTCATCATAATTATAAATATGTGCTCTGAAGTCTGAATAATTTTTAAAAAACACTTACCAGCCATAACTTCGGTTGTATTTGTTCTTGCTCGTTCGAACGGTTATCACACTCTGCGAAACCTGATAAAAAAATATGATCATATCTCTATATTGAACATTTATCAGTCAGATAGGAACAGCGTAGAATCACCACTTCAAAATTGTTTGAATTAGTAGTCGATAGATGTAGAATGCAAGGAAACTTGTCCAATACAACTGATCTCTAAACTGTATATCAAGTGTTATATTTCTTACCGAAAACTGAACAAGTAAGCTAAAATATATTACGTGAAGATAAATTTACTCAGTCAATACAGATCCGTCTTTCAAACGGAAGTGAATGCAATCTTGCATTGCCGAAGGAATACCAATTTTTGGTCTCAACGATATGTGAGAATCAATGTTCTAGTGTGTAAAAAACATAACATATTTTCACAAATAGTAAGGGTGCATACTTGAATTCACCTGAATGAACAATTCGTTTAGGCCAATCTCAACTCAGCCACACTGTAACTTAATGGACTGACACCTATCGGAAAACTACTACTCCTCTGGCTAATACTACGAAGGGTGTTGGATTATATTCGATAGGTGTCAGTGCAGGATTCTTCACAGAAGTAACTTCTGCATATTATGCTGTTGGCGATACAACTGCCAAAATATATTTTCAATTATTGGAACACACTTGCAGACCGGTTTTGGGCTATTTGGCCGCTCGTCAGTGCAAGGAAGTGTCAACATCAACATGAAGTCGATGATTTCCCATGATTAAAAATTGAATTCCTTTCAGAGTTGTGTCAAAAGCCCAATTGTCAAAAATACTAATTTCCGAAAATATTCAATTTTCCGGCGCCTCCACCACATGTCGCGTCCCAAATGGCTCGTGAGTTGGGGGTTAACTCAGATGGTAGGATTTATATGAATATAATAATCATAGATAACAAATACTGAAGTTTATTATAATAGAGGTACAACTTAGCCCTCAACAATGTTACGATACTTCAAAAATATGGTTCAACAAGCCAATAATACAAAACATAAAAAAATACACTTACCGAAGGTACATTTTCAAGGTTGATGGATGTGTTATCTTCAGAAGGTGGCAACCGAATCATCAATGCCCAGACACTCTAGTTCCCGATTTTAGGTCGAAGTCTAATATTGCCAATCAGCATTATTGCATTATCGCTAATTGCCGAATATCATAATTTTATAAAGGTAATTGAACTTTTACTAGATCGACCCTTACAGTGTGGTGCACTGAGGCTATGAATTTGGAAAATTGAATATTTTCGGAAATTAGTATTTTTGACAATTTGGCTTTCGACAGTATCATTCCTCAAACTAGGCTGAAGCCAACGACAAACAACATATTTGTCATCGCCCCATCTGCCCGTGAACGAGGTAACCAACCGCATATCCAATTTCCTCGTATAAAAAAAGGAATGACACACTGAAAGGAATTCGATTTGTAATTATGGAAAATAATCGACTTCATGTTGATGATGGACACAACCTTTACCGAAACTGGTCTGAAAGTCGCTCCAATAAGTGAAAATCGATTCCGGCAGTTATATCGTCAACAACATATGAAGGAATTACTTCTGTGAAGAGTTCTACAATGACATCTGTCGGATATTATCCAACGCCCTTCGTGGTATTAGCCAGGGAAGTAGTTGTTTTCTGATAAGTGTCAGTCCATTAACCTACAATGTAACTGAGTTGAGACTGGCCTGAACAAATTGTTTATTTAGATAATTTAACATAACATTTAATATACATACCATTATACAATACAGCTACCCACTCGGTCAATACAGATCCATCTTTCAAACGGAAGTGAATGCAATGTTGCAGTGTGCAAGGGATGTCAATTTTTGACCTTAACGAAATTTGAGAATCAATATTCGTAAAGACATCCAAGCTACTCTCGGGGCATTGATAAATCCAAGAGTGATATCGAACCGGCCCGGAAATGTGAAAAACTGGGGAAACTGGTGGTCCGGAATAAATTGGCTATACATTGGAGGTCTGGACACTTAGGAATCACAGCCGATAAGTGTGCTAGACACGAATCTATGGTACGATATCAGATCAGAAAATTAATCAAAAATTAACATAAAGAATACTGAAAAAATATACCTGGAAATGCTCTGGGACCACTGACGACAGAATGATTACATGGCTAGTCGGTGGATATCATCAATTTAGATTTAGAGGATACTTGAACAAAATAGAGCTGTTCAACGGAAAACTCAGCTACATGCAATGCAATGAAGAGACAAAGACTTGTTTTAAGTGAATGTCAGATGCTGAATCTCAACAAAGCATATTATAGATTGGCTCAGAACAATCACTGGACACTGTCCATCAAGAGGGCACCTAATTAAATAGGGCTGTATAACTACAACAACTGCAGGCAAAGCAACAAAGGGACAGAGGTAGCTCGTTATATTTTATGGGAATGTGAGACGTTTGTTCACAGGAGGCAAGCAATTTATGGACAACCTAAAATTTAGGTTATTTAATAATGTCCAGAAGAATATGACAAATAACAATGAAGGAACTGTACAAACTAGTACTAGAAACAGTATTGTTGAAATGGATTTCATGGAAAGATAGGAGAAAACGAAATGTATTTTGTACTCTAAAAACACACCTGTTAATTATTTTAACTGCAGCATACTGATGTTGTAGATCTTTTGAATATTTTATAATGTTGGTAACAAAGAAATATTTTTATAAATGGGAGAAATTGAATGGAACTGGCCGATTATTGATGAAAATCCACATCAAAACTCACTAATTCAGTTCACTGTGGGAGTTTCACCATTAAAGGTCGATACAACCGCGACAAGTGTGTTTCGCAGAAATGCTGCCGATAAAAATATTGGGAAAGTGAAGGAAATTGGTATGGAGTATCGGCGAATCACAATTAGAGAAGTTGCTGAGGATGTCGGCATATCGGTTGCCTTATTTCAAATCCGTTCCAAAATTACTGAATTTTTACAAAAAAAAAAAAACGGCGATCCAGATTTGCTTTAGAGGGTCATAACCGGGGACGAATCATGGATACATGGTTGACATCGAAACCAAAGTTTAATCGTCCCAATGGAAGAGCCCAGGGGCGCCAGGACCAAAAAAAGCATGCCAAATTCGATCAAATGTCAGAGTTTTGCTCACTGTTTTCATTGATCACCGTGAAGTAGTGCATGAGAAGTTCTTGGCATATGCTCAGAAATATTATTGCATTAAAACGAAAAGATTGTTGTCAAGGTTGTGATTCTATGTATTTTTTCATCATTTTTCCTCATCTGTTCAGTATAATTTCCGTACGCCACTGCTAAAGACAGAGTAAGGCAAAAACATCAGTTATTTTCAAGAATTTAGTACCTACTTTTTGGAATTATAGTATAGACACGGCTGGCATACTATGAGTGAGAGGTAAGAAATTCATACGAGGTATTATCATTGTTTTCATGTGCGAGGTTTCATAAGGTATTATTAGCTAGTAAATTTATCAGACCCGGTACATTACTCTTTTATTTAGCTGTTCGCATTGACTTCGTATAGACTATACCTGTAAGAATAACTGAACATGGTCTTAATTGTAAAAAGTATCATACACACAAATAACAGCAAACTAATCACAAACTGAATACTTATTTATAATGAAAATTCCATTGTTTTGAAACCCTTAACATATATATGTAGTTCGGACTCTGAGACTGTTCGATATCCTTTAATTCATAATATTTGTATATCACATGTAATTTCGAAATGACTCACCGTATTGTTATTTTCGTTTTCTGAATTCAGCAACTTATCTTCATGAATTTATTTCATTCGCTAGCTTCGCAAATATCACATTATGTTTGTGAAACTCGCTATCAGTATATATTTGTATCCGGTCAAATCGGGAATGTTTTCAATATTAAATTTCTGTATATCGCGCTGTCTCGATGTCCTTGAAATATTGTGCTGTGCCACAGGATTCTGTTCTCCAATAAGTATTTTAACTGACCTTTGGCGGGAAAGACTGCGCATCTTCGTGCTCTTCCTAAATCCCGGCTCAAATTGGCCTGTGGTGCTGTGAAGAAATGTTATGATGATGATTACAATTTTTTTTTTATTCAGGTCCGAACAAATAAGAAAGAATCTGAATTCTATGTAGGTAGGTTTTTCACTTAGTTCAGTTTTTTGTGTTTTATTGCAGATGGTAGACAGTTATATAGGAAACAGTTGTATGCATACGGTAACAAAAATATGGAACACTCGCATTGATAACTAATAATTTTTTTATGAAACATCCAAAATTGTTTTTAGTTTTGCATTTTGATTAAAATTTTCAACACTTTGTATGAAAAGCACTTTTTGATGTATCACATACCTGTACAACTCACTTGATTGAATCAGGTTGGTATACCTGAGATATTTTCAATATTCGCTGGAGAAGTGGATGACGTCATGATTCGATCAGATCCTATTTTAGGGACTCTATTACCTAATACAGTTTGGAACATTTATTGAAAATAACAATGATAAATCAAAATGCCTGTGGCAAATTGTGAAAGAAATTAAAGGAACAAACAAATCACATAGTCATTGGGCATATTTGACGACAGGATATAAATCAAATCATCTAAAGGAACAATTCGTTCAGGCCAGTCTCAACACCCTACAAAGTAGGTTAATGGACTGACACCTATCAGAAAACAACTACTCCCCTGGCTAATACCACGAAGGACGTTGGATTATATCCGACAGGTGTCAGTGCAGGATTCTTCACAGAAGTAACTTCTGCATATGCTGTTGGTGATACAACTGCTGGAATATATTTTCAATTATTGGAACACACTAGCAGACCGGTTTTGGGCTGTTTGGCCACTCGTCGGTTCAAGGCTCAGAGTAATAAGAAGACATAGAGTTGACATGCCTGTACGGTGCCTATACCAATACAGTACATGTGTTTTGAAACGGGTATCGTACTATCCTGTTCTGTACAACTTATGGGCGCGGGGGGTGGCGGGTAATGAGAGATTATGGAGAGTTTATTTACATTTGAAGTAAGTTGGACCATTTCCATAATGATTATGGAAATGAAGCCAGTCTTTCAACCACCTACTAGATTTTTATTAATGTATGGCTTTATAATAAAGCGCGTGGTTAACTGGGTTGAAATTAAATTATTCCCAATGATCTAATTCATAATAATGATAAATGTTAATTTCAAAAGTAATGAACTTTGCTTTATGATGAAGAAATTTGTGATTTATTCTCAGATTTGATAAACAAGAGGTACGGTTTGTAAAGTCCGATATAAAGAATTTTCGATTGGAAATCATGAATATTTATAATTACGATTGAGGTTTGATATAATTATGTGATTTCATTCTCATAATGTGGACCGACATTATGTTTTTTTTCAATAATTCATGCTGACGAATTTTTTAATTACGAAAAATCGTTAACGTAAATGAAAAAAAAAACTGTATTCAAAAATGAAAAATAAGTTTTTCATATGTGTGCCATAGGTCATATCCATTCTGTGATCAACAGATTAAAAAGTTTTCTGCTCAATGTTCAGTTTGTATACTAAATAGTTATTCTTGTGCAACCGGTGATATTTATTATTGCTCACTTAACAACTAACTTACGTCACACAAAGAATATGATCTCTGTATTGGTTTTTCTTTCTTTGCACGAGGCTTTCGAATTTCATACAGACAATATTCATTTTTTCAACCTCTTTTTGGTTGGGATATGTCAAATAATGAAATAATGAAAACCTAGTTTCAAAAACTTCATTTATAAGAATAAGATCAAAAAATGATCATTACAAACATCAAAAATATCCCCTTTCATAATGTCGGTCCACAAAGAACCCTACATACCAATTTTGAATGAAATCACAGAATAATATCAAACCTCAATCGTAATTATAAATATACATGATTTCTAATCGAAAATTCTTTTTATTGGACCTCATAAACCGTATCGTTTGTTTATCAAATCTGGGAATAAATCACAGATTTTTTTCATCTTTTTACTTTTGAAATTAACATTTATCATTGTTATGAATTAGTTCATATGAGATAATTTAATTTCAGGCCAGTATTCTAGTAGGTGGTAGAAAAACTGGCCTCAGTTCCATAATCATATTAATAAAAACAAAGTCATGCTGCATTCAAGATAAGGATGCAAAAGGCCACTCTATTGTTTTTTGTTACTCTGAGGTTCAAGGTAGTGTTTATGATCAACATAAAGTCGATGATTTCCGATAATTGAAAATCGAATTCCTTCAGAGTTTCATTTCTTGAACTAGGCTGAAGCGGACAACAAACAGCAGGTTTGTCATCGTCCCATCTGCCTGTGAACGAGGTAACCAACCGTATATCCGAACTTTGCCCAATTCCTCGTATAAGGAAAAAAACTTCAAAAATTGAAAATCAATTGCTTCAGTGAAGAATCGTGCACTGACACGTGTTGGATATAATTAAATGCCCTCGGTGGTATTAGCCAGCGGAGTAGTTGTTTTCTGATAGGTGTCGGTCTATTAACCTGCATTGTAGGGAGTTGAGCCTGGCCTGAACAAATTGTTCCTTCAGATGATTTGGAACAAACAAAACCGAAAATTAATTTAAAATAGAATGTGACCCATATACAGTTAGTAACAATTTCAACAGTTACTTTTTTGACGTAGCCCCCAATCTATTGAAAGACCTACCAAATATTGAATTCGGAAATAATATACCATTAAGTGGAAACTAATTTTTCGTGATACCGATTACTATGTAGGAAATAATGAAACTGTGTTCAAAACTAAAGAATAAAACAAGTACTGGATATGATGAAATATCGAATAATATTATAAAACTATATGCCTGTGGATTAGCTATACCATTATGTCACATAATCAATGGCTCGATTTCAACCAACCAGACAACTTGAAAATAGCATTAGTTGTGCCGGTGTTAAAAAATAACCCGACTCATGGACAAACATAGACCAGTAAGCCTTCTACTATCTCTCTCCAAAGTTTTTGAACTCACAATATTATCCAAACTTCTAAACTATTTCTACACTCAAGAATTATTGAGTCACTCGCAACATGGCTACTTGAAAGGAAAGTCCATCGAAACTGGCATATATGAATTCATAGAAAAAGTTACTAAATCATAAAAATATATCAATATGTATCTTTCTAAACCTGTCAAAAGCTTTAGACAGTATGAATCATGAAATTCTGTTAGAAAAGATGGAGGAAAAGCTGATGACTGTAAAAAGTCTTATTTGATACAACGCAAACAAAAAGTAGTTATAAATTTCCAGAGAATTGAATATCTCTCAGAGGAAATTACGACGGTGATAGGTGTTCCTTAGGGTAGTATCATGGGCCCTTTGTTATTGAAATTTTTCATAAATGATTCAGTCTAGATATTGTGAATAATGAAAATGACACAAACATTCTCACAGTGAGTTGGTCATTAAACAATCTCTCAGACATCTAAAATAAAACAGTGAAAAAGATACAGGAATGGTTTGTTTATCATTACCAAACTCATATTAAACAAGTGTGCAACAAATTATATTTGTTTTAGAACTAAAATATAAAATACATTATACCTGAGGCACTTCAAGAAAAAACACAGATAATAACACCAGCAGAATACACGAAATGTCTCTACGTAACATTGACCAAAACACGTATCTGCTTGCATTTAGGGTAACATCAACATATTTGAATATTACTGGAGTTTGCACCTCACTACGTGTTTCGATCACCAAGTGATCATCTTCAAGAGGAAGATTAAACTAACTTAGTTTAATCTAAACTAGGTTAGTTTATTCTTCCTCTTGAAGATGATCACTTGGTGATCGAAACACGTGTCAAGGTGTTAAAAATAGAGATTTGGTGTTGGGAAAAACTCCAGTAATATTCATTACTACACCAAATGTTCCAAACAGTGCATCATAAGTATCAACATATTTGGATGATGGAGCAAAGTCAACCATTTATTTTGCCAACTTCCACTGTGATGCGTTGTGGCATCATTTTCTGGGGAGGAAGTAGCTTGGCAAAAAATATTTTAAAGATACAAAAAAGCCATCAGGATTTGGCTATCTGAACTACAAATAATCATATAAGGTAAATTCAAAAAATTCAATGGAAATACATTTGAATTGCATTAGATACAACATAGTCTAAACACACGAAACCATAACTCCGACTATAATATCCCAATCCACAGACTTTCATCAACAGAAAAGACTCCAGAGTATGCATATATTAGATTCTTCAATAAACTGCAACAACAGTTAAACAAGAATACAACATGAAAGCATTCAAGAGGCTTATAGTCAATATTATAGTGGATCTTACCTTACCCTATCAAAAAATATTTGGGAGAATAGATATCCTTACGAAGCGAACGTACAAGGGAAATAAGACAAAAATGTTTTTTAACACTTTATTCATTTTATTATTTGAATTTATATAAATGGTTTTGATATTTCAACCCATACAAATAATTATCTTCAACGTTTGTTTGAAGGTGATTGACAATGTTTCGTGGTGCATTTACTTAGTTCGGACTCCATTGTCTAATATGATATAAATTGATTTGAAATCCCTGAAAAAATCTACAAAAATTAAAAAGATTTGCTGAAAAAGGATAATTATATTAGGCGGAAAAACTGAAATTAAAATGAAATAAAATACAAGCAACAATAAAAAAATTGAACTATTAACACGAAATAAAAATTTGACGTATTTAGACGTATTGATGAAGAGAGCCGACACTAAATGGGACATCCACTCAGACGGCACAGTATCTAAACTAGGAATCCAACCACCATCAATCGACTAAGATAGGAATTATCAAGACTCTACTAGACCGTGCTTTCGGGCTCAGTAATGCACAGGAAGGTCTGGAAAAGGAACTAGGCATTATCAAAAATGACCTTCAACGGAATGGTTACTCCAAAGTGACGGTGGACCAGACTGGCTAGAAGACAGCAAGAGCTCCACAAGGAAGAGAAGCCGGCACAACTAGTACTTGTACTTTCCTACATCAGAGGATTGTCGGAAAGGAAAAGAAGAATTGGGTCCATCAGAACCTGCTTCAGATCTGGAAACACTAATATCCGTAGCAGCCTCACGAAAACCAGGACAGCAAACGCGGTCTGCGATTCCAAGAATTGCATATTTACCACATACCCTGCGAGTGCGGAGAATCATAGATCGGTGAAACTAAGAAGCCATCGAAAGTTCGCATTGCCGAGCACAAGAAACACACACAGCGAGGAGAAACCGGCAAATCAGGAATAGCAGAGCATGCTTGGACTTATCAACATAACTTCAAGTGATCTCAAGCTGAAATCATCTACAAAGAAGCCGCATATATGTTGCCAAGCTAGCGTAAAGATACGTAACATATGGAAACGTATAATCAAGCGGAACACGGTCAGCTCCCGCTAAAACCGATTAAGCGGAAAGAGGGAAGAGGGGGTAGGTGAAAGACTCGAATAACCTATAAATAGTCAGATCTCGGAGGAATAAGTTATCACCCGAAGACGATTGTGGATACTAACAATTGATGATTATTAACAAGGAATTTTCATTTTTTATTTTCATTTTTTTATTGTTGCTTGTATTTTATTTCATTGTACTTTCAGTTTCCTCCGCTTAATAATTGTTCTTTTTCGGCTAATCTTTTTAATTTTTATAGATTTTTCCAGGGATTTCAAATCAATGTATATCATGGAAGTCCGAACTAATGAAATGTAATTGTCTTCAAGTTCCTAAATTGATTCAATCAATTGTACCTGACATTCTTTCATTTAATTTTGATTACTGCGCGAGATGTTCTTAGAGTTAAATTCACTGTGATTGACATTCCTGAAAATAAAGATATATTCTATTATATTCTAATGATTAAGCCCTTACGTCTTAATCAGTACTGTTTTAGTACTTAGCATGTATTCGACGCTTTCATACACCAAAATCCTTCATATACCGTTGATACTATACATGGGTTGAAATTTGAGCCTAACACATAGATGGCGCTAATCTTATTGCATTTACCGTTTTTCATTTAGTACTAACCTTCAAAAGAAACCTGATTAAATTTCATGATATTCTATTCATAAGTTCGTGAGTTATTGTGCTAAGAGTGACATTACTTATGTTATTTTCAAACAATGGATCAAAAACAATTTCGTGTTTTAATTTTACACTGCTTCTTGATGAGAAAAATACAGTAGGCGAAGCAATGGCTTAAAAATCGTTATAAGGACCCCGCTCTACCTGAAACAACAATTGAACGTTGGTTTGCTGACTTCAAACGTGGTCGTAGAGACACTGATTATGCAGAACGCAGTGGACGTCCAAATGAGGCAGTAACATCAGAAAACAAAAAATCGAATAATGAAGTTGCGTGAGATAGCTGACATTGTAAAGATGTCAAAAGAATGTGTTGGTTTCATATTGCATAAGCATTTGACTGTGAAAAGGCTCTGTTCAAAGTGGGTGCCGCGCGAGCTCACTGTTGACCAAAAACAAGAACGTTTTGATGATTCTGAGCAGTGTTTGGCCATGTTTAAACATAACAAACCGGATTTTTTACGTCGATATGTGACAATGGATCGTCATCTGAGTGGAGAGCAACTGGTGAACCTCGTCCAAAGCGCACGAGAGCCCAGCAATTGTTTGGAAAGGTTATGGCCTCAGTATTTTGGGATGTGCGTATTGTAATATTCATCGACTATTTTAAGAAGGGAAATACCATCGATAGTGCTTATTAGCGTTATTAGAGCATTTGAAGTCCGAAATTTCGAAAAATCGACCCCCTTCGAAGAAAAAGAAAGTGCAACTTCATTAAGACAATATACAGTGTCACAAATCAAGAAAAACGATGGCAAAATTGCATAATACGGGATTCAAATTTCTCCCGCCAGATTTGGCCCTCAGCGACTACTGGCTGTTCGCAGACCTCAAAAAAATGCTCACCGGTAAGAAATTTTGCTCGAATGAGGGCTGAAACTGAGGGCTACTTTGAGGCACAAGATACATCGTTCTACAAAAGTGATATTGAAATGTTGGAGCGGCGCCTGAATGATTGTGTGGCCCTTGATGATTAAAGACAATTTTGAGCGAAAAAAACTCGTTTCTTTTCTTAGGCCCGAGACTTTTCGGCCCAGATGTTACCTTGATGGAAATGTGTTCGCAAATCACGGTAGTTTCGAAATCATTGATATATAAATTTAAGAATGAGAGGAAAATGAAGCTGTGAAATCATCAATACTTTCTAGGAAAAAAAAATGCCTTTAGAAGAACAGTACAATCATTTTATTTAGAGAGAAATACCGACCCTCAACAAAATGGTGGTTGTCTTTTGTATTGTCATGTTATTACATGTGGAATACCTGTATATAATAGATTCCCTCAATGGAGAATGAAGGATGGCAGCACGTCATTTGATTATTTTAAAAATGACAATTTTCGCTGATCTGTAATATCTTTCCGATTTGATAGCCATTGTAATGCACTAAGCATAGATCATATGCATGTATAACGGTTGCATCGAAGAAAACACCCTTATATCTCTCTTTTGCAACTTCTGATAAAGACATTAGTTCATTTTGATGAAAATTGTACTCCATTAGGGGTGCATTATGATGTTTAACGTATGTAGTGATTTTAACATTCATAGAAAATCAGAAAACAAAAGTCTCCAGGCAAGATTGACGATCTGTCAAAAAGTCACAAAACTTACTATTTTGTTAACAATGTTCATATCAAATAAAAATTGGGTAACTGTTGGAAAAGTTACAAATTATATGGAAAGAGATACTACCGTATAGCATTTCTTTCATGTATAATTGCCCTGCATATGAGAAATAAGTGATAAGAGTTCGAAAAAATTAATTCTCGTTACCAATGAAATTCAAGATCTGAATTTTGCGAAATGCTGTATTTATTTTGTGTCACTAAAAATGACAAACTGTGAATGTTTATTCATTGAGTCAGTGTTATGTATGAAAACACCAGAAACACAGAAAGACTAAATTGCAAAAAATATATTCGAAAAAAGTACAAGTTCCTTGAATCTTTTGCATTCCGTCACGGCCTGTAGTATAACCGGAAAAATTTGTATATTACGTTTTTGTCAATATAGCACAGTTTTTTTCTTTCGGGCTTGGCAACAGTGTTGGTTACATAACCACATTTAAATGAAATGAGCTGACGTTTGTTTTTCATAACCTTACTGTTTCTTTGAAGGTTCGACCTCTTTCACCTTGAGTTCTGACATGTAAGTTTGATTTTTCAATAACGTTTTTAGTTTTAATCATCGTATAATTATAATTTTTCACTTTTCAGAATATCTATTAGACATGGCGTCTATAAAATCTTTGACTTTATTAGGAAATATTAATAAAACTTTGAATAGAAGAACCTTTTCCACTTCAAATTTAGTAGCCTCCAAGCAAATGACAGTAAGAGATGCCCTCAACTCTGCGATGGACGAAGAAATGGAAAGGGATGAGAAGGTTTTCATACTTGGAGAAGAGGTTGCCCAATACGATGGAGCATACAAAGTTACTAGGGGTCTGTGGAAGAAGTATGGAGACAAAAGGGTTATCGATACACCAATTACGGAAATGGGATTTGCAGGTTAGAAGTTTTTTGTTCATCATTAAAGGGTCTCATCAGGAGGGTAAGCTAGGAAATTGGAGGAAATAAGATTTGGTAGAGAAAGAAGGTATAGTTTGTTTCAGAAAGGTTGTTAAAAGCATATCAATAGATAGGTCTTGATCCAGAGTTTGAGTGCCTGGCTCTTGATCCTGAGCTCGCAATATTGAGTCTGCTTTTTATCAGACATTTTTCTCCTGGGAATTCATCCAATTGAAGGAAGATTGATTCTGCTATGTTAGCATGGCTGATAGATTGCAAATAATCATGACGCTGCCTAAGTGGCTGGCGAAGTTATTAGCATAACATACTTAGAACATAGATTAATGACAAAAACTAACAAAGACCACTCTCTTAATCATCAATAAATGGAGTAGTAAAAATGGCTTTGGTAAAAGTGAGTTCATGAATACCAGGTTTTCTGGTTTACTCTAATAAGAGCGAGTCTCATTTGTCAACAGCTGGCAACTGGCAATTCTTCCACAAATTATCCTCTGATAGAGAAATAATATACATAATGTTGAAATGAAAATTATTTGAAAATTAGATCCAAGATAAAGACACAATGCTCAATACTATGAGAAAGATTCAACATTCATTTTTAAAAAGAACATTTCTTTGTTGCAACTGAAACATAACAATTTTTTTAATTATTACAGTGGCTTATTTTGTCTTTGTAACAAAGGATCACAAGTCAAAAAATCTAATTCACCATTAGTTGACACTTATCTATACCAATTGTTAACATATTCCTGAATATAAAATAAACATTTACTTATTAAAACAAATAAAAAATATATTTACTTATCTCAGTATTACAAATCTTATTTTAATATGCTGCTTATCAACATCGAAAGGTTTTTCAAATTTGTACTTAATTCTATCACCCATAATAGTCAACTTTGGTATGTCAAGAACCTCTATTATTTGAGAATTACTTTCCATTATTTTCCTTAAATAAGCTTTTACACTCATCACAAGTTTTTATCCATAACCCCTACATTATATTTTTTGTAACCTTGGAATTATACAGATCTTTTCTTCTCTGAAAACTTAACAATTACATAATCATTCTGCTCAATACACTGTCTGTTGAAAAAAAAATGTGAAATTTCATCACCAAACCCTAATTAATACCGCTATAGAAAATGTAATTCCACAAAAAATGATTATCATTTTTTGACCCAACACAACAGAAAGAAATTCAACAGAGTATATCTCCAGATATACAAATATTCTTATCATCACAGAATCGAGCCATAATCGATACATAATGATACTATATACCAAAAAAATATATTGTTGGTTAAAGATATTTACATTAGAGAACTTCAAAACATATTCTTCTTTGAATGCAACTATTATTTAGATAGAGCTTGTTTTAAACAAGGTGGATTTATGAACAACAGAGGTAAACTCAAATCCATATTGAAAAATCCAAACATGAACATTATAAATGTTATGAAAAACACAGAAAGACTTTAAGCATAATAAAGAATATATAGATCAAGGCTCCATCAATTTGCAACAGGAATTAATTGAAGTAAAGCGGAACATGTTCACAGAAGAACACCGAGACACTGGAAGTAATGCCAACTCAAAGATTTCAGAAGAACATTTTTTATATCCCCGTCTATCTCAATTGACGTTGGACCGTTAAAAGAACACGATAGTCCCCACTGTAATGCAGGCTTTAATATTCCAAAAATTGTGTATCAATTTGATAATTCCAGTGATAATAGAGGTAATCCTACTATGCTATTATTAAATATTCAGTCACTGCAAAATAAAACTGATGAAAAAGAAAGTTTTTGGCTTTCTATATATACAAAAATATGTGGGAATCTTCCAAAGAAAGGAAGGAAGTAATCAATTCGAAAATAAGTAACTCTATTGTAATTGATTACTTCCTTCCTTTCTTCGGAAAATTCCCACATATTTTTGTATCAAGATGGAGTAGAAAGTCAAAAACTTTCCAAAAAATGAATCACTCCCAAAAATATAACCTCTTCAATTCAAAACTGATGAGTTATTCACGTACTTAGAAGACTCAAATACAATTGATTCTACAAAACAAGGTAAATAGTGAATGTATTGTAGAATTTACAGTACAGCAAACTATAAGAGAAACTATCTAAACTGTTGTCAAATTAATTGGGAACATACTCAGGAAATCATTGATCCTCTTCAAACTTTTTATAATCAGCTCTGGTCCATTTTAAACAAATTCTTTCCTCATCAAGAGATGAAATTAAAATTTAAAAAAGAATTGGCTTAGCAAAGGCATATAAATCTCATCTAGTAATCAACGATTGCTTAACTACATTAAAAATTCACAAATGACACAGCATTTCATAAGTATGGCAAACAATACAAAAACATTTATAAAAAAATTAATAACCATGCAAAATGTAACTTGTATTAAAAAAGGATTAACCTAGAAAGTATTAGAGCTAAAGAGATTTGGTCTTTCATAAATAATTTTCGAAGTAAGTGTAAAAATAAACAAGTAGAAATACCAATACCACTAGTTGAACTTAATAAATCTGAGTCACCGTATGATCCCCTTGAGAAATTACACAATGTTATTTCCTACGAGAAACTAATTTTATACCCTCTTATGATTGCGAATTACGGGCGATAATCGGTTCATTTAAAAATAAAACGACATTTGAAAACAACGCATTATCGATGAAAATCTACCTGTTACTGCCGCGTTACTGCAGTAACGCAGTATGTTACTGCTGCATTGGCGAAGGCAATCAATTTATTAACTTTCAATGTCTCAAAAACCAAAGTTTCATCCTTCAATTCCATTTTTGGCAATATTCCTTTAGCTTTGAATTCGAATGTGATTGATAACACGCCATGCGACAAATTTCTTGGGTTATCAATTGATAATAAGTTGAAGTTTGAAGACCACACACTATCACTTAACAAAAAACTTTCGTGTGGATGTTATGCTGTGAAAATAACTTCTAACGAACTAGAACTAACTGAAACTAAAACTATCATATTATTCACTATAAAAATCACATCTAAGACATGGGATTCCTTTCTGGGGTGTATGAAATCAAACTTGACTTGAGTCGATTTTTGTTCTGCAGAAAAGGGCATTAAGATTTCTTAGTAGTGGCAGGTGACGAGATTCTTGTAGGCCTTTGTTTGTAGCAAACAAAATTTTATCAGTGTATGCTCTATTCATTGTAGAAACAGTTTGTTTAGTGCATAAACATAGAACAGAACTTCCCTCAATTGTCTCTCATTATACCGAATGTCAGACCCTAAATTTAAGTCTTCCGATATCTAGCTCAACTTTAACTAAAAATTCTGTATTGTTTAATGGTCTCAATATGTATAATCATCTTCCGAACTACCTGAAACTACTAAACTACTGTACTGTACTAACTAAAGATTTTCTTATCGAGAGTCCCTATTATAGTTTTCAAGAATTTCAACTTTATGTTATGGAAGGAACAAATCTACTCATATCACAATGATAGTATGTAAAGACATTCATATGCTTATTTGTTTTTCACAATTTTGTATAAAAATGAAGAAGTAGAAAACCAAAAAGCTTCTTTTTCTCAAAAACTGATGTCGCCCAAAAATATACCGCTCTCAAATTCAACAGAATGGCATCTTTCTTCAGATTTTACCAATATATTTGACAAATAAGTTTTAGCTCTGAGAACTGATAATCAGCATTTTCTGATCAATATATTCCTAGAATTGCAGTTAACTTTCACCCACGATACATGTTGATGTTTACATTTCACTGAAATAATTGAACTTTCATTCAACAGCTTCAGGAGAACATCATCAAAGATTAATTCATCAAAGAATTGAATTTTGAACACAGCTTAATCGTTGCTCTTTCCTTGACTAATGTCAGTTGCTATAGGAGAAAGGGGTACTTGATGAAAATCTAGTATGAACATATTTTATTTTATTATTATTAGTATATTTTTTTCATATCATCAAGCAAGCAATCTAGAAGTATAACTCGATATGGTTTTAATTCAAATTAATTTATCCAACAGGTATTGCCACCGGAGCTGCTATGGCTGGATTGAGGCCAGTTTGTGAATTTATGACTTTTAATTTTGCCATGCAAGCTATCGACCACATCATCAATTCCGCAGCGAAAACATTTTATATGTCAGCTGGTCGTGTCAATGTACCTATTGTGTTCAGGGGACCAAACGGAGCTGCAGCTGGTGTAGCAGCACAACACTCTCAGTGTTTTGCAGCATGGTACGCTCATTGTCCGGGTTTAAAGGTAAGAAGATAAGACTGTAACTGTGGGTTTAAAATAGAATAAAAATTGAATTGTCTCTATTTTTTACACATACACATTTTCAGAAGCATACAAGAAAAAACTTATTGGACTAATCAAAACATGTAGGTACTTATTCAAACATTGAAATTATATATCCTACTAAACCTTCCTAAATATGAAATACTCATAACAACTAAAATCTGAATTTATGTGTAAACATTCAAACACAATATTATATTTTAATTTTACTTTTGAGCTAAGATCCCGTTTTACACACCCCTGCTACAATATTTTTAGCTGTTCTTATGTGAAAGTCTAGTTAACAATGTGTATTTGTGCTAAATAATGTTCTTGCATTCAAATATTTCGGCTTTATTGATATAATTGTCAACGTTATTCAGACAAAGCATGCCTGCTAAAAATTAAGTGTAATTTTATATTGTTAACAAGGTTTACATTTGTAAGATCATTAAAAATCATGGATATGGTTTTACTTTCATTTAGGATCAGTTCATCAGGTACAAATCACGCCACAGCCTTCTTCAATATAAGTGACAAAACTGCTTCAATATTCACCTGCTTGAAGTCCATCTTTAAAGTTGTATCGTATACTGTTGATAAAACATATTAAGAACAGAAGAAGGCCTATAATCGATCTTTGTAGTACTCCTCTTCAACTGCAATACCACATATTCCAAAAAAATAAAGTTTAACTAGCAGTATCAAATAATTACAATTTTCGAATGCACCAGTCAAATCTGTGAATAATGTTAGATATTTTTTTCTGTCATTGAAAGCTTTCTCAATAGATTTCGTTAAGAGAGAACTGCATCCTTAGTTGACAACCCTCTTCTAAATCCATATTGTTGGCAGAATTGATATTCGACAAAAATTCTGGGAAAATTATTGATCACCTCTTTTAACACTCATCGGGTTACCAAAAGAAACACTAGAAGATAAAATCATATTATTTTGAGACAAGATTCTCTGGAATATTCACAAAAAAATCTGGAGTAAAACACAACTGAAGGATTTGACCAGCGGTTTTTTAAAAATGGGAATAATCTTTTTCGAGTGAGGTTTTTCTATAATAATGTGAAGAAAATTCACTGTTTCTGAATAAGGTATCTTAATGAATTCCTAATATGTCTTCACCGTGAAAGTCTAACAAACGAAAAAAAAAAGTCGATAGTGAGTGATGCTCCACTATTATTTTTGTTTTCAGTGAATTGAAAATTACTACTTTTTAAAGTAAACTGATCTTGATATGTGGTCCCTTCCAAAAGTTGCGAGAGTGGAGAATTTTTATGCCCGAACTGTATAGTAACTTCTTTTTTTACTCTAAATCATCTTGAACATTTTGGGTATTTATTTAAATTTTTAGGTAATATCCCCTTACAATTCAGAAGACTGCAAAGGATTACTGAAGGCAGCAATCCGTGATCCTGATCCAGTAGTATTTTTAGAAAACGAAATTCTATATGGTGTTCAATACCCAATGTCTGATGAGGCATTGAGTAAAGATTTTGTTTTGCCTATAGGAAAAGCAAAAGTACAAAGACCTGGTAAGTAGTGTCTTTCTTGTATTATGAAGTTCTTCAAAATGGATTGTTTCAGGAAAACACATAACCATTGTAGCACATTCCAAGGCTGTAGAAACTTCATTGGAGGCTGCAAAAGAACTAGCTGGTAAAGGTATTGAAGCTGAAGTTATCAATTTACGAAGCATTCGACCATTGGATACGGAAACTATTGTGAAATCAGTAGTAAAAACAAATCATCTCATCTCAGTTGAACAAGGGTAGGTTTTTCCAAGCTCTTGTTGCTATCATAGTACTTTTTTATGAATTTGAAGAGTCAAGACCTGTATCTTACCACCAAAAAAACCTTAGAGATGAAAAAAGTGAAATTGAGAATGGCACAATAAAATATTTTTATCTGTGTCTCTACAACTATTGCTACCAGATGGTAGTGTTATTTCTTTTGTGAAAAATGAGAAATGAAACTTTCTATGTTTTTGTGACTTTTATTTATTACTAAAGTTTACTGCATTAAACTTATTATATAAGTTTGTATAACTTTGAAAATGTCCCTATAGGACGAAACTGCAGTAACATTAGTTACAAATAAAAGTAGTAAAAAACATAGAGTTTCATTTTTCATGATTTCCTACCATGTAGTAACGGCTACATCCATCAATTTATTGTTATTTCTTTGGATACATATTTTCCAATGGTATCAATGTAGTTAGCTTTTTCAAACTTCTGGTTAAGAAAGAGTAGCGTTTTATCAAAAACATTTATCGATTACTTATTGTGGAACAAATTTCCAACAGTTGAAACAGTTAACCTAGACTAACTGAGCTGAAATTTTACATACAAGTTTGGCTCTCATCACAATATATAATCAGTCAAATGATAATTTCAAATCCAGTCATCTGAAACCTTCACAATATCATTGATATACAGTAAAAATAATAGCCCATTCCATTTCTGCTTTCTTTTGTTCAGATAACTATCCATAACACTGCATCTACTACAATATTGATAGAACACAGATCACATTAATGAAATTTATATATTGTGTTCTCATTGTCACATTCTTATTCCCCTTCATCACGAAAATCATTGTATTGTATTTTATATATATTTTTAGGTATTAATTCTATATAATACGTTCTGAGAGTATTAGACATTTTTTGTACATCAATAATCATTTGTTCTTCATCAATTATAAAGCCGTTATTATTAGTAAGAAACAAACTGTAAGAATTTTCTATAGTTGTACTAAATCACCTTTATTTTTGTCAATTTTTCACTTCAAAATACTAGTTTTTCTTCTAATTGTTGCAAATACAGAACTATGTTTTATTTTATAATAATATCTATTGTCTTCAATATTATTCACTCTATTGAGAGAATACTGTCTCTCGAAACACTTTTTGCTACCCATGTTAATTATTTGTTTAATCATCTTCTGATGATGCCAACTTGCTTACTGCCCATGTTAGTTAATTTTTTAATCCTCTCCTTATGATGCCAACTTGGGTAGAGAAACGCAGGTTGAGAGACAGCACCTTTGTTCTGATGAGAGAAACGTGTTTTCATTGTATTCATTTCACGCCAGAGATTACAAATTCCTCTCATCAAGTTATTCACTCTAATCGGAAGGACCACGGAATGGTATACCATACTTCATTTGGGAGTGGAGATATGCAAAGTCAGTGTAAGCAAGACATTTTTGCTGCAGTGGTCTTTCATATACTTTATGCTGTAGCAACTACTTATCAGCTTATTAGACAATAGTTCTGTATGACTTGCCCATTGCAGATGTTTGTCGAAAATTACTCCCAAAAGTTTCACCTCATCACTACAAGTTATTTGTTTTTTTGTATTTTTGAATAACACAGGTGATCTTTGTTTGAAGCGCCCAAACACTACTGTGACTGTTTTGTTGTTATTCAGTAACAGACAATTCTTTTCAGACCACCGAATGATATCTTCATAAATCCTCTCAGTTTTTCTCAGTAGCATGTCTATGCTTTTTTCGAAAATCTTTCTTTCTTTCCATTAGACTGGTTATATCATTCACAAATATATTAAACAATAAAGGTCCCAATACAGATCCTTGAGGTACACCTTGATTTGTTTCACGGTAACTACTCAGAACTTCATTCAATCTAACAACCTGATTTCTACCATTTAAATATGATTCAAATAATTTTAGTGGTATTCCCCTAACTCCATACGATTATAACTTACTATATAAAAGCCTATGATTGACTAAGTCCAAAGCTCTTGAAAAGTCAAAAGACCAAGAGCATATTTTCCCTTATCAAGATTGTCTACAAGACATTTTTGAAATCACACAGAGCAGATTCTGTGCTCATATTTTCACAGAATCCATGTTAATTTCTGGATAACAGTCTCTGACTCTACAAGAATGATGAAAGTTGATTAGTGATGCCCATTTCAATGAGTTTAGAGAGACTTGACAATAAAGTGATGCCTCTATAATTGGAATTTTTTGTAAAGATTGATCATATTCAATAAGGCGGAAGTGGTGCTCCGGTTTTATAATTCATTGTTGGCATTAATAATTTTCGTCATAACTGTCGATGTCATTAGTCTGAATAACTTGAAATATACAACATATTTGAACTTAATAAACCTATTAAACCCAGCAACCCCTTGATTCTTATTGAATTTGGTCAAATTAAAACTGAATTGAAGAAAACTTTAATGAAATAAATTACTACAAAATAAACAAGTCATCAATCACACATATTGAGCTGAAGAAATTCCATGTGGCTCCATTTATTGGAAAAGGAAGGAATAAATAATAATAATAAATGTCATTTATTGGTGAATACCGAAGGGATGCTTGTCCTTTGGATGGTTGTCCTTCAGCTCTTTCCCCACATAATGCCTGTAGGGTCTCCATGTTAGTTTCATTTTTGGCAAAGCGGTTTCCTAGGTCTGATAGTCTCTCCTTTATAGGTTTTACTTTTGTAGTTCTATAAAGCAGTGTGTTTGGGGGATTGTGTAGTATGTTCTGAGGGTGACGCATTTTGGTTATACTCATTAGTGTAGATGTTTCAGCTGTTTGGAGATTTTTTAATGCAGGATTGCGAAAACTTGAATAAATTACATGTGCATATTTGAGAAGTGGACGACAGATCATTTACATTTTTTAAATGTCAGACTCCGAAAGTGTTTTCCTCTATTAATGCTTTTCTTTTTAATCATTTTTGTATGGCTGTTCAAGTTGATTTTGTGGTCAATGTTAACTCCCAAGTATTTTACTGATTGCCTGCTTCTTACCATTTCGTTGTTAATGTTTATTGTTGGTAGTGTCTCTGAAGGGTTGTGATAAAAAATGATGAATTGTGATTTTTCCGGGTTTGGTCTCAATCTCCATTTATTGAACCAGAGTGTTGTCCTGTAGATTTTGCAGTTCCTCTATTATGAGTGCTAGCGTGCGGTTTCACACAACCGCACGCTAGCTGGTTGATTATGGTTTGACATTACACGTTTTTTTTTCCTTTCAGCTGGCCAACATGTGGAGTAGGGGCGGAAATTTTGGCAAGAATCATGGAGAGTGAAGCTTTCTTCCACTTAGACCAACCAGCATTACGTATTACCGGTGCCGATGTTCCAATGCCTTACACCAAATCTCTGGAAACTGCTTGTTTGCCACATGCGAAAGACGTTGTTGAGGCGGTTAAAAAATTATTGAAAGTAAAGTAATTGGGAATACTGAATCAAATGAGATTCAGACTTCAAGAGTGAAGTTCAAAGTTAACTCAACAACGGTGGTACCTCTATATAACTGTTCATTGGCTAATTAAGGATACAAGATTGGTGGGCTTGTCAAAAAAAATTCAATATAATGGGGTGTGCAAATATTAAAGATATCATGGTTCTTATGTTAACTATTGATTCAAACGTATCTTGGCGAATGTTTGATTTCATTATTATTAATTTCTTAATAATTTGGTGGAAAAAGCATCAGATGGCTTAAACGAAAGCCATACTTTTCTCATCAATGATTTGAATATTTAGTTCATCTCCTAAGAAATTACGTTTTCAACTGTCATATATTTTCACTTCACAATTGTGAGAGTTGACTGAAATTATAAAAAAGTAAAGAAAAAACATCACTTGAAGTTAGTTTTCTTGTTTTGAAGCAGCTCAAAGTATCTATAAAACAACAAACATTCACAGATATGAGATACACCAATAAAAGACTTACAAATGATACTTTGATTTTTTTATTGTGTACACAGAAAAATAACGCTTGGTTCAAAAAGAAGAAAATAAAACTTGCTATTTAGACTTCCAATAGTCCTTCTTGTATCAACACTTTTTTAAATATAGTGATAATTTAACCAAGAGTTCAACAATTCAATGTCATTTAAATTTCCTAATTATTACTACAATGATGTGGTATCACCCTCATGTTTTCTTTCTAACAATAATTTTGAAACAAAATGTGAATAAATCAAAAATAAAATTGGACCCAAAATAAATCTATGTCGAATTTTGCAAGTTTATTTGTGGCTGTATCTCAGATCTATGACTATTTCTCATTTTGTATATATTTCAAACCACCTGAACACGGGAAAACTGACTTTTGATGGTTATTTGTTTTCACATTATGTAGTTTTCAAAATATAGATAATGTAATTTCCTTACCAGAGCTCTGAATAGAATTAAAAGACATTTTTAGCAAGAGAACTGCAGGTCCACACTTTCCTGCCAAATTATCAATCTTATAAATGTGTTTTATACAATGGTCCCTGTAAAATTAAACCTCTTCAGATTTTTATCCCAGTATTGCCTACCAAATAATCATCAAACATAAATATCAAACAAATATACCGCAGGACATTTTATTTGCAACATAAAACTTGAACCAGTTCGTTCTTAGTGTTACTTAGTACATTCTCTTTTGTGTCAAATCAGGATCTTCCTTTTATCTAATCAAATTTATTGTAGATATGAATAATAATTAGTTTTTGGGATACTCATTGTGATCTCTGTTATATCCCAAGTAAAATGATGAGATTCTAAAAATATAGTATTGTAGTACTGGGCTTTTCAGATGACTTCCTGTTCCAGGGCATATACGATAAAATACTGCATGCAGCAGATCTTGAAGATATTCTATCCACCAGTTACGTTACTGCTATATTGACAGATGGTTCTATGTTTATCGGTTTAATCAGTGTAGATCTAAGACTTTACTTGTATTATGTATAGAAGCAGTATTATCTTTCTTCACCATGTGAATCATTCAAAAGTACAATAATTTGAAATATGTTTTTTACTTCGATAGAAATAATGAATTTTCTGTTTCAATTTGATTTCCTGTAATGAGGTTTACAAGAAGTAAGAAACGTATATTGCATGACAAAACTGCATTCATATGTTTTGTATTTCATTACTTACTCTGAGAGATCTATTTAAATGATTTGAATAGGGATAGTAATAACAATAATGATCGGAAATTTGCTTTTTTGAAGTTGAGTGAGCCGAAATTTGGCGTCTTCAACACCTGAGTCTAGCGTAGTCATGTGATGTTATGGAAGATGGAAATGGGTATAGAAGCCCAGATGAAGGGCCTACTGTCATGGTTATGAATACATTGAATACCTTGAGTAATTCTTTGTAATTTTACAAATAAAAAATGAATGAGTACTTTCAACTTTTCCATCTTCAACATTATGCCAAGCTCACAAAAAGGGAGGCCAAGGTTGTTTAAAACCATAATACAAGATATGTGATGGAATCGGCGAATACTGATGAAAATCCATAACGTATCCAAGAAACACTTTATTGTGAAATACTCACCAATTGTGAGCTTTTTACATATTTAGGAAATATCTCACAATGTAGTGTTCCTTAGAATTAGTCAAGACCACCTTCACCCCCGACTGGTAATGATTATTTATTTATTTACGGGCAAGCCCATTTAAAGTATAAATTACAATGTTAAATTATAATTGAAATAAAATCAGATAAGGTAATGAATTACAAATTTCAACTAAGAAAAGCTTAAAAGGGGTAAATTTGAAGTTTAAAAGGGGTTAATTTTAGAGTATACAACGACAAAAAACAATGAGCGTCAATAAAACATATACCACATACTTAAACTATACACTAAAACATTAAAGCACAGTGTTCTGTAATTGAGTTTTAAAATGATGCAAGATGTTAAACATCTCAAGATCAACGTTACTATTGGCTAATCTTAAGATTCTTGGAATGCAGCTATTGAATGTGTGGTTCAAACGATAAAATGTTACATAAAATGTTTGTTGCTGTCGAGTTGAGCAGTTTTAAACATGTCGATAATTTTTTTTGGGAGTTCAGCACAACTGAATTTGCCGTTAATAATATTGAAAAGTAGTGCCAAGTCTCTCTGTTTCCTCTTAGTTTCCAGGGAGGACATGCTCATAGATTGCAGTAGCAACTCATATTTGCAACGAACACGCGATTTATATGCTATGTATCTGAGGAAGTTGTGCTGGCCATTTTCGATGTTCTTAATATAAGTTACACAATGAGGGGGACCAGACATAAGAACAATACTCCAAGTAACGATAAAGGGCTTTAATAGAAGTTGGGTCAGTGAATTCTTGGGTTAGCCATTTGATAAAAACAGGATATGTCCGACTTGCTGTCATGTGTAACATCCGTGTATCATAGTTATTTTAGCAATCTGATTACATAATTTGATTCTTTTGCAAGTGCTGATGATTCGGAACTACTGACATAAGATTAGATCCAAACCTCATCTTTATAAATCAATTGAATATACACCACCATCAAAAGTTACACATAGATATTGCTAGATGATTTGTAGGATAAATATGTTTTTTCCTCGTGTTTTTAATAACGGTATATATCAAACCTATTAGTTCTCTGAATGGTGTTAAACTGACCACTTTACTAAGAAAACATGCTTTTGTGATAAATATGACCCAACCATCTGGCCAAACAACAAAAAATACATCTTTGGTTTGGTGGTCAAAGATGAAATAAGGGACCACTGGTAACAAACTAAACAGAGAGCAAAGTTTTCTAAACTCCAGTTACAGCAATTTTCTTTGCTGAAAATTGAGTTTTAAATAGGAACGATAAAACGCCATACCCTCTTTCATTAAGTGAGTGGGAGAGGTTGAGTGGAAGAGCGCTGCTTCTCAACTCCTGTTGAGAAAGCACCAACTCTGCCTTTTGTCAGAAATGTAAATGTTATACAGGGTGTTTCAGAATTCGACGGACAAACTTATACCACGTCATACAAAAAATTACTTTCGTTCAATATGCTGACAGATGTTAATAATATATTTGATGAAAATAAAGGTCCACGAACCTAGCCTTGTGATACTCCATATTTGATAATTCGAAGCAGAATATCTATACCTATTTCACTAGTTGTTGTCTAGGTAGGGTAACAATAATTGATACCATAAAACTCTAACTTTAATAGAAGGATGTAAGGGACACAGTTGAATGCTTTGGCCAAATCGTACACGCTTATAGTTGCACACATATGATACTTGAGAGACAACTTAATTAAGTCTCTTTCAAGGTTGAAGAAATTGGAATAAATTAATCTTCTCCTGATAAATATGCAACATAGTCCTCAATAAGGTAAATATAAAATTGCTATACTATCAATGATTGATTTCTATACTATCAATGAGTATTTACATATTATGTGCGTTCATATGCTTTTTAAATTTATTATCATTAATGCACTCAATTTGAGTAGAGTACAATATGTATTGTATTGTATGTATGTATTGTATAGTTGTATTACTACTATATGTTTTCATTGACAAAACCTATATTGTGTGCTTCAGGCAAGTAAATATTTATATATCATCTCTTCAAGAGATTCAAGAACACATCCTTCAAATTTGACTACTTTAAGATCTTTATTACTGTCCATTTCAATAATTATATATTGAGTATCTTGGGAATCAACTGGACTCAAAAACACATAATGTATGTGTTGACAAAACATCTTCGTTATCTGATTACTTTTTCAACCTATCATCAACCTTTTTGTTATATATGTTGATAAAATCTATGCATTTAATTTTCCAAACACTTGTGTCACCCAATAAAATATATCAGAACATTTTAGATATTCAACAGTGGACCATGCTCAAGATGATTTCTGAGCCTAACCATTTTATTTGCAAATAGACTGTTAATTATTTATGTTTCTGTTTTACAAAAATACAAACCACTGGTGCTTCTACTCGAGAAGCAATATTTCAATTATAATTTTTTTCTTTTGATTTCAAAATCTCCAGTGACAAAAAGTCTCTAGTGACAACAGTATTTGTTGAAATGATTTTATTATTCATTACCCAATAATATCTTTGTTTGATATATGGTCGTGAAAATATTTTTCATTTACAATAAATAAACAAACAGTATTTTACATTTTTATTGATAATCAAAATAGAGGTTCACTCTTGCAGGGAAGTTCAAATAGAAAAGATACACTTTACACTTTTTCAATATTATCAGTATTTAATAATGAAATATTTCAATTACAAACATAATTGAAATAATTTTCTTGGTAATGTTAACAGTCAGCACATACTAGAGAATAAATAAAATAAACAATTATCACCTTCTCCTTTTTCTTCTTGTGCTCGGTCCTGGTTCGTTAGAATTTTCATCACTATCAGTATTCATATGAGTAAAGTTATTAGAATCTTCAGACTGAGATATTTCTGTAACCAAAGTATAAAATTCTCCAAATGAAACAATTTTTAAACAGTGAAATTCGATGTGCACTGAGTTGAACCTCAAAACGATGAGCAGCCACAGTCCGTCGCGTAATTGGTGGAATTGATGGAATCAAATGTACCTAGTCACTTGAACACAAATGAAAGAGTTCTTGAACAGCGAAGTTCAAGGTGTACTTCCGGTGAAAGTATCTATAGAAGAGAAATAAATCTCCAACCTTTCTTCGATGTTACAGACTATTAAGGTTGCAGGTGATGTTCGAGTCTCCAATCAGGTGGATGGCTCTTTTCTAGATAGAATCCAGCAGCTTCAGGGTATGCTTAGGGTGAAGCTGCATACATGAGAATAATACTCCATAGAAGGTCTGATCTGAGCTTTATAAAGCATCAAAAGTTGCTGAGGTGTGTACAGTTTTCTGGTTTGGAACAGTGTTCCAAACTTTTGAGAAGCAGCCTTTGCTATTCCAGTGACATGATTGTGCCGAGACATATTGGTGTCCATTTTAACCCCCAACAAACTTTTTGAAGCAGAAAGCGAAATCCCCAGCCACCGCCATAGATTGAGGTGAGCACTTCTGTCGAGCTTCGGAATTGGTTTTTATTGTGCCTGTTTTGTTTATTTCATATGTGAATGTTCACACAAGTAGCAAGGGAAAAGTTGGTCACCTCTGGCAGAGCCCCGCATTACCAGAGGAAGGCTGGCTTTTTGTGGTATTGAATTGAACCTAGTTACTTTCACCTCAATTAAAAATCACCTCTACATCCCCATTAGGATATGCAACCTCCTGCTTCCGGTATTCTGGAATCCAAATGGAATGACGAGACAGGTGCGTTGTCGTCAGCAAAGCAATATAATGGATTCTTGGTTTTTTCCACTAAGTTGTTGATATACAATAAAAAGAGGGTTGGAGACAATATGGATCCCTGGGAAATACCATCGTTGATGATATAAGTATTCGAGAGATATCCATCAACGGCCACTTGCAGGGAACATTTTTTCAGGAAGCTGGAGAGCCGCACACAAAAATGATCCAACAAGCCATACATCAAAATTTGGCCAGCAAACCCTCATGCCACACACGGTCAAAGGCCTTAGAAATATCAAGTGCAACAGCTCTTGCTGACAAAAAATCATACTACCAAAACATTTAGTTTTTGGGAATATTTGGTGTAAATTTGGGGAGCCACTATTAGATTTGAATCACTCCAGTATCGAAGATTTTGAGGATTTACTTACTAGTTCAGATAAAATCTACATTGATTCCACATTACAGAAATATGTGGTGTACAATGACGTGTTCTGAGAGGATTACACATAATTCAACTTTTTGGTTGAGATAATGTAAGACACTGATTAGTTAAACATTGTATATACATTAAGACCTGCTCCATATAGAATGAATAAATGAATGTTTTTTCTGATAACCACATTATGTTGATAATGTTTACACAAGTTCTCAGATGGGATGGAGGGTTCTCAAAACAACAACCAGGTAGTAAGAAACCATCTGTTTTCTAGCCCTGAACGAATTTTTATTACAAAAAAAAAATAGTATGGTTAAGGCTTTTACGGCCAAGATTTTCAATGTCACTATTTTCGGGTTTGAAGGCAGTCAGTGTTTGGAATTTATCCCTGACATTTCACTGGCGTGAGTCGCTAGCTTCTTCAGAGGTTTATACATTCTGAGTTATCTCTGATGACATCGGAGATAAATGTATAAACCTCTGAGAAAGCTAGCCACTCCAAAAATCGACCACCTAGAGTGTTATATAACAAATGTATATACTCACTATTATTTGATTTGTTTACTGATGATAATTCTGCCATCTCTTCTTCATCGTCTGATCTGTGCCCGTTTTGTGATTGATAAGCTAAATCGAAGTCGGTACCACTCCAACGCTTATGGCAACAGGGACATGTTTTTTGATTTACTAAATACTTGGATAAACAATAGGAATGTAACATCTTATGACATGACTGACACTGATTTCCCTGAAAAAGTTGATAATGTCAGATAAAACGCCTCGAATTTTTTTTTTTCAATTATGAAAATGGTTTGAATGTATTTGACATTATTTCTTGTTGAATTAACATAAAACAAAACGCCTCGAATTTTTTTATAAATCATATAAAATGGTTGGTTCATTCGAATCAAATATTCTTAACCTACCAATTAATAATTGAATTTTCCAGGACTAACTCAATTCCGGTTTTCTGCTCTATTAGAATTTTTATTTATCCATAATATGTCTTTTGGTACCGTGAGATTCAACTTACCGAAAACACCAATTCCGAACAGAGATTACACATAGAGTTTGGAAAATGAGTTTTCAAATAAGAAGTAAACTCTAAAATAAGTCTTGGACCCAAATGGACATGAGCATCTTTTCTCACAAAATATCCTGCCTTTATCCATTTATATAAAACATTCTGACCATTATCCCTTGAGAAAAATCCTGTAAGTGTAGACGTGATATTAATACAAACAATGAAAGTTAACTTGTAGTCCTCTGAATTCAGAATTTCATGTAGTATGGTGTGAAAGTATTCCAGTTCTAAAGCTGAATAGATATTTTGTAGCCTCGATAGCTGATCATTTTTAGTATTCAACCAAATAATCATATCATGGCACGTAACTTCACAGGTATTGATTACTATTTTGAAGAACTGTTTGGATATTTCTCTATTTATTTCAATAATTAATGTTCTCAGGTCCGTTAGGTTTTCAACTTTTTCAGTAGCTCCTAAAACAAATTACCTCTATTTACACTCTTAGGTCAATTTGGATAATTGATATGAGATAGTAATATCAAAGTGTTATTCCATTGAGTTAACGAAAAATTTATTTTTGTTGTTGAAAAATTTGAATTAATTTTGATTGTTGCATAACATATGTTTATATTTCAGAATCAGAATACTTAATCATAGATGGGGGGTTAATCATAGATGGGGGTCCAATGTTTACCCTGTTTTATAAGTAGTTAGGCCACTAGCATATAAAAACACTAAAATAGTAGTAACTTTGTACTGTACGTTAGGCAAACTAAGTCAAAATTTCCCCGTTGGTTCAACAATGATTTGAAGAAACTCATTATTGAAAAGAAAAAAGCTCATAAAACCTATAAACTTAGTAAATCTTGGGATGACTACCAAATATTTTCAGATTTCAGAGCCCGATGCAAACTGGCGTCAAAAATTTGTCATGATGATTATATTAAAAGAATTGAAAATAACTTGACATCAAACACGAAAAGCTTTTGGAATTTTGTTAACAAACGGGAAAATTATGGCTTTCCTGATACTATGTACTGCGAGATAATATTTATAATAATGGAAATGACATTGTTAATGCATTTGCAGACCAGTTTCAATCAGTTTATAGACCACATAAAGATAATAAAATACCAATATTAGGTTATGAGAAAACAATTGATATCAATAGTTGTACAGTTTCCTTAGACATTATTCTACAAAAATTATCGGAATTAAATCCATATAAGGGTCCGGGACTAGATGGCATTTTACCGATGCTACTGAAAACCTGTAGATTTACAATAGCTAAACCATTATTCTTATTATTTTCAGCTTCACTTAGTTTGGAAAAATTCCCCCTCATTTGGAAATCAAGTTATATAACACCAATTTTCAAGTCTGGTAACAAAGCTGACATAAATAATTTTAGACCGATCATCATATTAAGTACAATACCCAAACTACTTGAACATTATTATTATCATTTGTGATAATATAAAGAGTCCTTTAAAACAAGTGATTATCGACGAACAGCAAGGATTTAGTGAAGGTAAATCCACCAACACTAATCTATTGTTGTACACCCAGTATATTTTGAACGCTCTGGAAAATAAACAACAAGTGGACGTAATTTACACATATTTTTCAAAAGCATTTGACATCGTGAACCATAAAGTTCTTTGTGGAAAATTAAAGGCAATCGGCATTTTTGGGAGTTTGCTGGACAGGTTCTCAAGTTATCTTTGTGATAGCTCATAGTTTGTGAAAATTAAAGGATTTATCTCTTACAAGATATCTGTTACCTCAGGAGTACCTCAAGGGAGTCACTTTGGAACTTTTCTCTTCAATATCTTTGTGAATGATATCGAAGAAAAAATTACTCACTGTGAAATACTGATGCTTGCAGATTATCTAAAAATTTTTAGAGCAATTGATTCGTTGCAGGATTGTGCGAAAATTCAAATGGACCTTAAATCTTTTTCTGATTGGTGTAAGATGAATTATATGGATGTCAAAGTTGCAAAATGTAAAAGATATTAGATAACTATTTGTTCATTCAGTAATAAATTATCTGTTCGAAAATACCACCAATTTTTTGGAATTCATGAACCATCAATATGCCTAGTATGTAAATGGATATTAAAACAAATATGTCAAAAATATTGAATTTATCCTTCATAAGTATCTAATTGCTTGTTCATGAAATATTTATATATATAAATACAGATACCAGCCGTTAAAAGATATCAAAGTGGTTCCAGAAGGTCTAGAGATTCCAAATTTTGGTACTGTAATTCAGAATTTTGAATAAAAAAAACATTTCATTCTTTGTGATTCCAAAAAAATTATTGATTAGTTAAGTACCAAATAAAAATTTTTTGTCAAGTGAAGAGATCGAAAGGGAGAAATAATGCGAACTAAATATCAGAAACTAATGTAGAAGGAAAAGTGAGCTTTGTTGAAAAAAAAAATATATTAAATTCCAAAGTAGTCTTTCTCTTATATTCAAATAAGCAACAACAAAGTTTTGTGAACTATTCAAATAAGAAGGAACGTCAATATAATTACAAATGAATAGTAATTTCTGTTGAATATGAAGAGATGAGCCTGAAGTGTCTGAAATCGGAAAACAAACCAACTCATCGGGTGTAATGGTAGCAATCTTATTGGTCAAAGCTGAAAACAGCAGAGCACTTACAAAATTATCTAGACCATAGGTATTGTTTCTCCCAAAATTTAAAAATATTTCAATCAANTACGGGCGCTACCATTTCGAATGGACCAATAGATAAATCCATCGAATAAATCGGTGAGTTAAGAACTCGTTTTATATCAAAATGTTTGCATCCAGCAGCGTTGCCGATTGACGGGCGGTTATTTTTGAGCTCTGCAAGTATTTTTTCGTGTTTTGGATTTTGCGGCTAAAATGAGGGCAATGGTATGATGATACTGAAAGATAGCTAATGATAATGAGCAAATAAAACTCAAATGGACAATATAAACATCTTAGAGCAATAAAATACACGAAAATGAACTTTTCATAAAGTACACTTCACGATTTGATCTCCACAAACTTTATTTGAAAAAAATATCACGACATGTTTCGCTAACACAGTAGCTTTATCAACAACAAATCACTGTTGTATCAGATGTCGAATTCAATGATGAAAATAAACTTTTCAATCTTCTCCAACCTCAATTAGAATCGAATAGAATTTCCCAGCTTCATTTTATACATCCTTACAACGTATTTGATACTGATCTAGCGTATTCATTTCAATCAGAATGGAGTCCAGCTCTCTTACCCTTTTAACTGAATATTGTCGAAGAAGGACAAATGGGTTCATGACTGAGGAAATGTTGGCGGAATGAAGTCCTCAGACATCAGTACCGCCCTTCGAGGGATACCCCTACCTGGCTGGGGTGGGATGAATGAAAAAGCTATTCATCCGTTATATTAACGGGGGGCATGAGGGCCTCATTCGACAGAGTGTCGGGGCCTTCTATATCGGGAGGGGTCGTCTACAGCATAATATATAGCTTCCCTAACTAACGGATTTTCGTGAGTTTCCGCATCTTCAAAAACTCGCCGATTCCTCGACTGAATGGACTGCCGAATGGAAGGCAGCTGCAAATCTCTGCGGATGGCTTCATTCCGCACGAACCAAGGAGCATTCACAATCATTCTCATTAATTTGTTTTGCAATACCTCCAGAATGGTGATATATTGTATTTCGCCGCTTGTCCCCAGACGCCTGAAGCATACATGATGACAGACTTGAACGTACTGTAGATGGTAATTTTATTTTTCAAGCTCATTTTGGACTTTCTGTTGATCAGAGGGTACAGTCAGGCTATCCGACCCTCGATCTTTGACTTGACGTTCATGATGTGCGGGTTCCAAGTGAGCCTACGGTCTATTAGAAGGCCGAGGTATTTTACCCACGCTTGCCATTCAATCTCCCTTCCAGAGATTCTCACTTTTCTGGCCGGAGATTTTAATCTTCCCATGGTTATCTTGTCTTGTCTGGATAATCTGAGTCTTGTCTGGCTTCACTCGGATCTTCCAATCAAGGTACCAGCGCTCGAGGTCGTCCAATGCACGTTGCATGTAGACAACGCCGAGCTCCCGACCCATGGAAGATGAGAGGAGAGCCGTGTCGTCGGCGTACAGGGATATCTCCACATGCTCGGGCCTTGGAAGGTCGTTGGTGTAAAGGGAATACAGCGTCGGAGAGAGCAGCGAGGATCTCTCTGTTGTCAGACAGAGAGCCCTCTACTCTAACCTGAAATGTCCTTTCTTTCAGGAAAGACCCAATTCACCGGATGAGGCCTCGAGGCAGGTCGAGCGTGTTCAATTTGTGTAGAAGGCCTTCGTGTCAGACACCGTCGAAGGCCTTCGAGATATTTAATAGCACAATATGTACTTTTTTGTTTGTGTTAAGCTCGCGGATGGTGTTTTCGACCAACCTTAGAGTCTATAACTCAGTGGAGTGTTCTCTCCTGAAGCCAAATTGTTCATCAGGCAGAACATTTCGGTCCTCAACTTCTTCGTTGAGCTTTTGGAGAACAACTCTTTCAGCCAGCTTAGCCGCCGATGAGAGTAGTCTGATCGGACGATAGTTCTGTGGGAACAGCGGACTCTGACCCTGTTTTGGGATCATGACGACGATCGCATGTTTCCATCTTCTGGGGAAGTGTCTGAGGGCCAACGAACTGTTGATTATACTCAAAAGGAATTCGACGCAGTTGTCCGGGAGCCTCTTCAACAACTTGTTGGTTATTCGACCCCCGACGAATTTGATACAAAGTTTTCAGCACTTTATAAACTACGACTATCAAAATAAAGCACATACTAACAACTGACGTAACGTTACGTCAAATTCCGTTTCAAAACCAACCAATGAATAGATTTCAAATCATAGTTGATGTGACGTCATCGTTTCAAAGTCTGAATGAATGAATGTATTTGAATTACAGACCAATACATTTTAAATACATGAGCGTCAGAAAATGCCTCATGACTTCTATACGGTATACGGTGCTTCATGTGACAATTTTTTTTTATTTGATTTGTCTCAATGCTGCGACGTTGTGGCATTTTGTGTTGTGTGATCCGCGGGTGGAATATATGTAAAAGATATCACGCTCAGTACTTATATTATCAATATAATATATAATCATATCTATGTTTATTAATCAATCTTACTTTTATCACAGTACAGTAATTCTGTAACTATATGGAATGAAATACTTTGGTTCAATACTCCATCACAAAAAATACTGTGATGTTTGACCTTAAACAAGTTGAAAGGTTATTTTGTTAGTCAAATGATTTCAGTAAATTAATTAGCAAATCCGTTGTAAAGAGAATACGTAGTAGAAAATTTCAGTTAATTTTTATATTTTAATAGTATAAATAATACCAGCAGAACATAGGGCAAAAAGAATTCGTGAGTTGAAATATCATAATTATTACCTTTTGTTGACTTGAATCTCTACTTTTCCATTGTATACAGTTTTTGCACTGGTTTGGATTCAGAATAAATTTATTGTATTATAAATATTTTCGAAATGTCCTATGTGCTGCAGAGTTACAGAGATGGAGTCAAAACCATCAAGTTCAATCGACCAGAGAAAAAAAATGCAATGTGCCAAAGTATGTATGAAGAAATTTCAAATATTTTGAGAAAAGATGCCAAAGATGACCAGATTATCCTGACTATAATAACTGGGGTTGGTGATTATTTTACCAGTGGTAATGATTTGAAAAGTTCCATGGAAAATGGGGAACAGGCTATGAAAGCTGTAAAGGATATGATTGATACCTTTATAGAGTATCCCAAATTATTGATTGCTGTTGTGAATGGTAAAGCTATTGGAATAGGAGCAACTCTTCCTATTTTATGTGATATTGTTTATGCAACAGAAAATGCAGAATTTGACACCCCATTTGTCAAAATGGGATTATGCGTGGAAGGTTGTTCCAGTTATACATACCCCCTGATACTAGGCAGAAGCAAAGCTTCTGAGGTGTTATATTTGAACCATAAATTGACAGCCACAGAAGCTCACAGACTTGGACTAGTTTCAAAAGTAATACCAAGGTTAGAATTGGAGACGTTTATCAATGAATTACATCAGTATGGAACACTTCCTGTAAATAGCCTCATTAGAAACAAATCTGTGGTGATGGGCAACTTGAAAACACAACTGAAAGAAATTTCTTCAAGAGAATTTGATATGCTGAAAGAGTGTGTTAATTCTGAAGATTTTATGGATGCTGTTATGACATTTATGAGTCGAAAGAGCAAACTGTAAAATCCTTTCCCTACTGTTATGTTGAATTTTTTATTTTTCATTAACCTCTTTGTGATAATTTCATCAGACAAGTTCAAAAGTTACATTTAAATATATTTTGAATCTTGTACTTTTATAAATATTAATATTTCAACAATAACAGTTGAATACCAAAGGGTATTTTATACACTAACCTTTTTGAGGATTTTCACCTTCCACAATCTCCACAAAATAGTTAAAATTTTACAGGTGTAGACTGGGAAACCTTCTAGTTCAAGTTATTGCGTAAAAAATTGCAGCAACCTTACATATTTAATATTAATGATTGACATTACGGATCTACATTGCCATAAGACTTCTAATAATTTCATCTCGATATTAAAAAAGGAAAAATAGGGAACACAAAGAGAGATAAGTACTTTTATTTTTATTCAGGTTTAATACTCGAATATCTACTTATTTGAAACAAAACACAAACAATTTCTGCTCAAAACACTTCATTACTTTTTAAAACTTAAATACAACACTAAACGTTCAGCTATAAAATTTGATCCTACAAACTAAGAGATTTTTGAATCTCAGAAATAAAACTATGAAATATACAGTAAAAAAACAGTACTTCAAAGAAGTTTCAAATTCAAACCCAAATCTTACTCCAGCCTTGGACCCTTCTTAATATATTTTAGTTCTGTTGATACACCCTCAGAACATAAAATTAGGTACTTTTTTGCGGACAAAACTGAAAAAAAAAACAATATCATTAGTTACATGATACAGTGTCATTACCAGATAAAAATAATAAATCTTTTCATTAAGATTCCAGCTTGAATCCATGTAAACACAATTCTTCACAAGACATTGAAAACTTATCTTTAATTTGGAAGTTGAAAAAATACAATGTCCATACAGATCGCTTCATCCCCCATTGTATAAAACAAGTTTTTCAGTAAGTATATTGTCAATAGTAACCGGAAGACAATTATTTCTCAGTGTTGTTGAATGATCCTCAAATTTGAGTTTGTTGTCAATATGGATTCCTGATAATTTTTCACAGATTGTTTTCTATTGTTTTTAAAACAATTGTGAAATTTTGAATATCAATAAATGTTAGTATTAAAAAGACAACTCGATACACACCCTTTTTCATATCTTCCTCTGTACGATGTTAGGAGGCATCTATGAAAAAGTTATTAAAGATATTTGCAATGTCATCAGGAAAGACGATTTCTTTATTTTCATAGGTTATTTTCATATTGGATGATTTGGCAGTTCTATTATTTTTCATCTTGTTAATAACTGTCCAGGAGACTTTGCTTTCATTTTCAGAAAATTTAATTATTTGGGCATATTGATTTGAATTATTGTAAGGTTCTACCATGTTAGGACAAAATTGGAAAATTCTTCTGAAGAATATAAATTACTTTCAACTGTGTCAAAGCTATTTTCAGAGTTTTTGTCCGTGGTCTGCAGATTTATACACCTGACGTTGTAAATAACTAGAAACAACTAGAACACTTCTTCTGTTGCCTCATGACCTTTGGTAATGTCTACCACAGTCGTATATGAAACGTCTAGCATAAAAATCTGCAAATAACCTGCAATAACAATTTATCGTTATAAATTATCTATCTCTCTCTCTCTCATGAATATATTAGTATTTCAAATTTTGCATCACAAATTTCCTTGTTATCCAAATGATAAATGTTTTTGATACTCACCCAGTAAATCACTGAAAGCTCTAGCCATGTTTATTTTTGTCATAGGTTTTTCACATATATCTTCGATTGTAGGAAATCTTTCAGTAAAATTCCATGTTTTGATGCACCCAACAATTTTTTGCTGCCTAAATATAAAAAAGTTCACATGATAAATCCAGACAAAAAATTATTTGTTATTTACCTCAGTCTATAGTCTGATGCTGGTGACTTGGGAATTCTAGAAAAAAACAAAAGTTTCGATTTTAATAATGAATGATGTGTTCTTGGAGTGTCAAGCAATTACCTCGTGGTTTCTTTTTTTTCTGCTGTGGGAGTTAAAAGTTTCTCAGTTGGTGGGGGTAGCTCCTGTACAGAGGGGACTAACTCTTCCCTCACTGTTGGTACAATTTCCAATGGTACAGAAACTTCCTCGGTAGGTGCCACGCCTTCCATTGAAAATTCTGGGACAGATGGTTGTACCACTGGTGGTTCTTCACCAATGGTGACCGTTAATGGCTCTTGTTCTAGTATACTGATCAAAAAATAAAAAAAGTGAAAATTTGTACAAGGAAGGTTGGGTTTTTGGTCGTTTCATAATGGTTAGCTGAGAAACTCAGTGGTTAATAAAATAATGAAACTGAAAAAACTGATTCTTTCAGATTGAAAATGAGGCTAATTTTTTTCGAGATTTGAGAAAAAAAAGAGTTATCAATTTTCGTTCTTCTGAGTTCTGTGTATTTTACAACTGTTCAATTTGAGACCACTGGAAGTCTAGCATTGAATGTTGAATTTTGATTTATCATGCTCTCAATAAGTAAAGGCAAATGTAGCCTTCATTACCCAAGATGAAAACTTGATCACAATGAAAGTTTTCAAAAATATAACTTGCCAATAACATTTAAAATATCGAAAAATTTGAAGGATGTTGGAAATACTTATTGTTGACTTGAAACAAATCAACTGTTCAACATAGTGACAAAATCCCTGATACCAACTATGACAACTGAATTGCCATTACAATTTCCCTGCTTCATTATCGTTGAAGTCTTTCAGTTTTTTGAAATTTTACCAGTGCAATAACTTTGTTAATACTCAAAACAATTCCTTCAACCCAGATTTATCACTTCAACTTTATCTGGTCCCCCTATTTCCAAGTAAAGTCAGAATACTCCTCTTTTGTTTGATATTTTGGCTCAAATCACTAGTAATTCATTGAATGTAGGGAATATTTTCTTGACTTTACACATGCAGATTATGGTTATATAAAGGAATATATTTCAAATGTTGACTGACTTAAACTAGACTCATATGAGAATATGAATAGAGAATTTTNGACATTCATTAGTTCATTTGATTTAATCCCAGTCATAGAAATCTGGTTTAAATTGAAAAGGATTTAATTCTTCATACATAAAAGTGAGATTTTTCCAATCAATTTATTTGTTTAAATTTATTTTTAATTTTTTTATTATATGAAGATGAAAATTAGAAAGTATAAAGATGGAAAAGTAGAAAGCCAAAACATTTCTTTTCCTGAAGTAAGTTTTTTGTTTAAAAGCATATTTGACTGAGCTCGCAGTCAGATTATTGGGCTGCTAACAATAATTTTTGATATTTGTCAAGCTTTTGGTATCTTTTATACCTTTGTCAGGACAACTGCAATACTTGGGTTACATTTCATATAAAACATAGAAATATAGAACATATTCTAACATGAGATTAATATAAGAAATTACTTGAAAATTAATAAAAAAAATTGATTTTTCATCAAGTACTCAAAATGACAGTGTCAAATAAGAAAATCCTGAATAACAGTTGATTTCATATTATCTTTCAGAATTTTCCAACTTGACACTGACATTTTCAGTACTTGCGCAAATTAATATTTCTCTGATCGTTTTCAAGTCATCTTTTATATTAATATCACGTTAGTAAGTGATATATATTTGTTTTTATACAAAATGTAATCCACGTATTTTAGTAATCCTGACAAGGGTAATAAAGAAACATAATAGAGGGGATAATACTATTGCGGATTGTTGTGCACTGTATTTTAAAAAATTAAATTTCGATTATTTAGTTATTTTTCTTTTTCATATAAATTTTTCTCCGAAAGAATTGCGCCTTGGGTTCGAAGGTTGGAGACATAAACATTTTGGAAAAACTATGAGACTCACCTCGTTTTCTCCCTGCTTGGGGGACGAACTGGAACAGGTGGTTCTTCAATTGGCAGTTGTCTGAAAAATTTTAAATTGAAAATGCAGAGTTTGACGGTTGCCAATAAGACATACCTTGGTCTTTCTTCCGAACCTATTAGTACTTCACCCATTCCCAATGATGGCATTTCTTTTTGTGGTGTTTCAGTTTCAGACAAAGGACGTCTCAATGAGTCAGTTAAGTCTTTTTCCAGGGTAGATCTTGTAAGACGACTAGGTGTTCTAGCTAAGGCTAGTGAGGTTCTAAGTGAACTACTCCTAAAAAATACAATATAGGTTTTTATATTAGTACTGAAATATCAATGTCTCCTCAAATATATCAAAAATGTCATTGAAAAGCTGTTCTCAACGGTGACACTCGTGACTATTTTAAGATCCCACCCAACATAAGCTTTTCTTAGTATTTTCGTAAGCCTTAAGCTACGAAATAAAAGTTTCAGATAACGGAATATAATCAAATGAAAGGAAGATGAAAAGCTTTTAGAAAATCACAAGAATGAAAGGAGTACTCACCAAATATACTACAGAAGAGCCTTAGAACAATGAGGAGAAGAGGGATTGAAAAGAGAAGCTGCAGGTGGATTGAACTGCTTGCTTAGAGAATGATTTGTTTACACACCATTATAGGGAAAAAATAGTACCACAACTAGCAAGGGACTGTCTTTTGGTCTATAATGAATATAAAGTATACCAAAGACTACCTAGGATCTTAACTAAAGGAAGAAACTTCATATAATTTTCGGGAAAATGAAAAGAAAATTTCATAAAGTATTTCATCTCAAATTTTTAGAGTACTGCCTCTCGAACTACAGGGCTATGCAAGATACTTAGACTCAGATACTTAGTCCGGGGCAAATACAATAACATAAAACGCAGCAGGTCCTGATAATCATGACCAGATAGATGACAGAGGAAATGCTGGACATAAGTCCATTCATATCGACCATAGTAACACTTACCAAAAAGACCAGAATAAAGGGACTACTGAACTTAGAAGTGAAAAAAAAACACTGGTAAGAGAGGTATCTATGAGTGATATTAGATTCCTGGAACCACAACCTGAAAAAAAGATGGAAGTAGTATTAATGCCGGCCGATGCACCTAGGAAAAGATGTGAATGCTGAAACTGAATAATATGAGATAATAACTACAAACAATGGAGATGCAACCCATGGTAATGAAACGATCTTTTTTTTGATGGCCATATATTAAAAGATTGTACCTGACAGATGAACCAGCTCTAACTTCGTCCCTAACACCGTCGACTTCTTCCTCGAACCAGAATATGTTGTACAAAATTTCATTGTGAACATTTCTGAATTCAGTCGGTAATCTATAGGACTGATCAACAAAGCGGCCTTCATTCTCCTGAAAAATATTCCTGGATTAGACCTTTGAAATTATTTATTAAAAACACTTACATTGCATCTGTTGATACGAACAAAACCCTTTCTTTTATTTTTAAGGAACAACTTGTCTACAGCTCGTCCAGCCTTTGAAACAGATTTCAAAAATTAATATCATCAAATAATATACTTATTACAAAAAGAGAATATCTTTTATAATACTGATATGTGTAGCAATTCAATGAGTCCATTACACCAATAATATTTTCAAATATTAAAGTTAAGTTAACTTACAGTTAATATTATAACTTTTACTTCCATTGTCTAATATGATTCTAATATGATTCGAAATATATGAAAAAACAAATCAAACTAGAATGAATAGCTAAAATGTCAATTAAATGTAAGCAAAGAGGCGTGAAATGAAAATACAATTAAACGAATGAAATAAAATAATCACACAAAGTAAAAAAGAAATAAAAAGAATAATGTGACAAATTAATGAATTAACTGTCCTAAACAAATTTATTTCCAACAATATTTTATTATCACAAACTAATTCATTTACAACATTTAGCAATTAAAGCTTAATTTATTTCCACTATTTAAATTTCTTGTTTGGCCGCTCGATGGGTCGGGAAGCCGGGCTTATATAGTCGGTTCGTTTCGGCGGTTGCCGACTGCATTCTTTCGCGGTGATGTCATGTGTTTGTTCGCTGGCCGGCATATCGGTCAGGGGCGGCTTCAGATTCGTTACAATAAAAAGGTAAAACAAGCAAAAAATTTAAAAAATGCAAAGATTTCAAACCAAGTTATTTCACGACGTATCAATTGTCATCACCCGAAGACGATTGTTTAAAACAAATCTGTTGAAAATCTGTTTTTCCGTTAATCAGCTGCCGCCCCCGTACGAACAACAACTCTCAGAATATGAGAAACTTGTGCGAGCTAAGGAATAACGAGGTCTTACCTTTTAACGTGTGATTCCTAACACGGTTGCAGAATCATTCCAGCTACAACCAGATAAATTCTCTCGAGAAAAATATCTGGTCGAGGCGGGAATCGAACCCACGGCCTTCCGATCGTGAGTCGGGCGCACTACCACTGCGGCCAATTCCACAATTGTGGATACTATGAATCGAAATTCGGTGAAGTAACTTGGTTTGAAATATTTTAATTTTTTCAATCTTCTTCATCAAATTTTTTTCGTCTATTTTAACTTTTCATTCATTTTATTTCTTTCATAATTTGTGGTCAATTTCATCTTTTATCTTGAATATTTTATTGTATTCGTTTTATTGTATTTTCTTTTTTTTTGCTTATATATAATTGATATTTTAGCTATTCATTTTAATTTTATTTGTTATTTCATACATTTTAAATCATATTAGTAAAGTTTAAACTGGTTAAATTCACCATGAAACACTGTTAACCACTTCAAAACAAATATTGATAAATATGATGGAATCGACCGATACTTGATGAAAATCATAACTAACGTATTCTAAAAACACTTTATTGGGTGATTTTCACTAGACTGTTTTACAAAAACGCAACACGTGTTTGCCATACAATGGCTTCCTCGGGCGTGTATTGATAATAATAATAATAAATGGGCTTTATTCATTGACATACATTGTTTATAAAGAAGAAGTAGATACACATATCAATGAAAGGGCGAAGTTCAGCCAAGGCTGTTTGACAACTGATAGCATGTATTATATAGAAATATAAAAATAATTACCTAGTATACAACAATAATAAAGGCTATACATTTCAAAGTATATATTAAAAATCTATTTAGCTTAAATAAGGTAAAATATATAGCAAATTAGCAAAACTTACACAAAAGTGAGTCAAAAGGAAAACCATATGAGCAAGGCATAACATGAATATATTATCTATCCAGAAAACTTCAGATATGTTTTCAACTTTTTCTCGAAATTATATGTGGAGTAGTGTCTAAATTCACTGGACAGAACATTATATTGTTTGATAGAGTTGTAAATAAAACTATGAAAAAAGCAGGCTGTCGAATGTTCGAATAATAAAAGTGTGACGGTTTCGTGTCCTCAAATTATTCTGAGATTCAAAAGTTTTATATCTTTCATGAATATAATTTGGCTTTTTGTAAATGAGGAGTTCATGTGAATTGACGAGTAGGTGGAGCTGCCAGGTTTTAGCAATCGGTAATCAACCAGACTCCTCGAACTTGGGGGATATATGGTCGAATTTTGTCACACCATAAGAAAGACGAATGCAATTGTTTTGTATTTTTTGTAATTGGTTTACATCAAATTGTACCAAAGCAGGCCCGTAGATTATATTGCAATATGCTAATCTATACAATATGAGGGTTTCGCAAAGTTTCAACTTCAATTTGGAAGTCATATTATCTCTACTTTGATAGAACTATTTCGTAAAAAGCGTTTTTAACGTAATTACATAATATATAACAATTTTCAAAAACAAAAATAAGTGAAATGATAATATCTCATGACTTCTTGCTAAGGAAAATACTGAAAATATGAAATATGTACATGTGGTTTGTAGAGAACAACTTGGATCTTGAACATGAAAAGTTTGAATCGCCCTTTTCTGGTAACTACAAAAAATTATGAACAGGGTTAGACAGGAATTTTGAACAAATGATAATAGATGGATTAATACAATTAGAGTACACGAAAAATATTGGTGTCAATCTCATTGGGATTATAATGGAACTTAAGCTCAGGAACGAGCAAACATAGGACTGTAAATTATTAGGAGAACTGCAGAAAATCAAATAACTTCCATTTAAAAAATCAAAATAATTGCAAAGATGTTTTTGTGAAGAAAAAAATTTAATTTTTCCTTCACTTTCTGTAAACTGAATGGTGAATAAGGCGCTCTTGAAATAATGTGCCATATGGAAAAAGTGCCACAGCAAAAAAAATTGAAAAAAAAAACAGCATCATCTTTGGAAAGAGTTTATTTTGAACTTAATTGCTTTCTTCCTTCCTTCGTATAAATATGGAGAAGCAGAAAACCAAAAAACCTTTCCCATATATCTTTTAAGAAAACTCCACATCTTGTGGGGCAGATGGAAGGACTTGACACTGGTAAAATTGGCAATCAGAAAGAGACTTCAGAAATAAAGTATAGTACCCGACAGGTCAAATGAAATCATTAGTTTCAATTATTATTAGGTTCTATTGAGTGAATCAGTCAGCACATGACCTATGTTAAAATGACAAAATGTGTAGTGATCCTAAGAGAAATACCAGGTAGATCCCAAGACGGAACCCAGTGCAGACATTGTACTGAGACTGAAACCCTTCCTTGCGTATTGGGATCTTGTCAATTTGGTCAACTTCTGAGAAACACTAGACATCATACCATTCGTCACCTAATAGCCACAACATTATCTGATAAATTCAATGTTTATGAGAAAGTCAACTGTACATCTTCCAATGGTATCATTTAAAGAATTGATATTATAGCAATAGACAGAAAGAAGGATATTGCATTCATATTGGATCCATAAGATTCGAAATAGGGTAATTCTCATCCTGCTGACGTTGACAAAAAAAAAAAAGAAATATATGAACCAGCCATCAAATTCTTCAAGGAGAAATATAAAATTAATGGTGAAATAAAAGTCATTGGTCTCTTCACTGTTGGCCGTTGAAAGTACGCATTGCCGAGCACAAGAAACACACACAGCGAGGAGAAATCAGCAAATCTGGAATAGCAGAGCACGTTTGAACTCATCAACATAACATCAAGTGGTCTCAAGCTGAAATCATCCCCAAGGAGAAACACTGGTTTAGGAGAAAATTCAAAGAAGCCGCATAAATTTTGTCCAACAACGCATTTAGCCAAACTAGCGTAGAGATACGCAACATATGGAAACCCATAATCAAGCGGAAAACGGCCAACTCCCCCAAATGGTCATCTCCCGCTAAACCGGTGAAGCGGAGAGAGAGAAGAGGAAATAGGTGAAAGCACTCGAATGACCTATAAATAGTCATCTCTCGGAGGAATACGTCCAGTCATCACCCGAAGACGATTGTGGATGCTAACAATCGAAACGTCGTGAAGTAACTTGGCTTGAAATCTTTATTATTAATATTTCAATATTTTATAATTTAAATTTTTCAATATATCTCACCTTTTTTCTTGCATCCTCTGCTTTCTTTCTAGGCTCTCTTAATTTTGCAATTTGTTCTCTCAATTCTTCAACAGGTTCAGCAAGAGATTGGATTTCCTGAAGCACTGGTCTTTCTTTTGGTACATCAACTTTTTTAGGAATGTCAGAAATGATAGGCCCCTCTTCAGTTGTTGAAATAGCAGGAGTAATCTCTGCTGTTGGTAGATGTTTTTCTATAGCCGCTATTGCAGGAGCTTCTGGTTCCACAATTTCCATAGGAATGGGCTGCTGCCCAGGAGTTTCGATTTCAGGAACTCGTTCTATTTCCATTTCAGGAAATCTGGGCACATCAGCAACTTCTGGAACTTTATCCAGGAATTCACCTAAAGTATTTATTTTTGCCGTGAATATGATCAATTAAGTAGAATGAAAAACACTTTCCATTATTTTTCAAAAGTTCATCTTGATTTTTTTTAAGTCATAGCTGATAAACACAATGTATTAATGACAAGTTTCATTAAAAACCCAAGCAATTCATCCCAAGATTGACCTCAAAATAACACTTCGATATATTTATTTTACTTGAAAATCCCTATTATTTTTAACGTTATCATAATCATCTGAAACCTTTTGAAATAATTCATTATTGGGAAAAAAAGATGGGATAGCATGAAGAGAGGAATTTCAGAATTACTCATAAACCATTTTTCTAAAGGTTTTGTGCAAGTAATATAAAAACTTGAGATAAACATCATTTGAATGACAGGAGTGTTCAATTTTCAACTAATTGCTAGAAAAGAAACCAAAAAGGTTGCATTAAAACAAAAACTTCAAGAAAGCAAAGATAACCATGAGTAATAAGACAATGAATCAATATAAGCAGAAATGGTCAAAGAGAATGGATGAAAAACAGAAGTCTACTTTGAATTATTATAAATGTATAACAACACACAAGGAACTTATAGGATTAGTTACAATGGTACCTGCAAATTGGAAAATTGTAACATGAAATCAATGAACCTGAAATGCATGGCAGGACTGATAGGATGTATAAAATTTTAGTCAAGAAATGATAGTTCTGAATGGAGTTTTCTGTCATCAGGATTTTACTGTATACTGTGAGCTAACGAAAGAAATACTTGTATAGAAATGGCCAAATTAAGTCGTTTTGAAAGATAATGTTTCAAGTAAAACATTTTCATACTGAGACCAAAAGTTGGTCCTTAGCACAGTAGTTTTCTCAAAATTACCATAGTAGATTCCTTAAAATTCCTCATCCTGTAATCACATTGGTACAGTACAGTCATTGAATCCTTATTATCAGTCGACAAAGTATTGAAACTGAAATGACATGGGTACTGATCAGAACGACCCAACCTTTTATTGAGGAATTGATTTTGCTTTTATTAATGAAATTTACCGAAAGTAAATTTTGAGCCAATTTTAATAAATTCATCAGCACTATTAATACATTCTGTAAATACATCACATCTTAGATCCCATATTACATTAATTAATTAATGTCGATTAAAATATTCCAGTATGCAGAGTATTAGATAGAGTGATTCTCAATTTCAAGTTTAAATTTATAATTACGATATAAAAATTATTTACTATGAAATGTGAAATATTTCCAGTTTATTAGTTATGAATATAACTATTTGTGTAGTATTACTAACATTTAACCGTCAAGCGATTGTAATGTTATTAACTGCTCTCAAAATCTAATAAACTGCAGAGGACTCAACTTTGTAAAAGCTGTCTCTCTTTTATGAACCAATCGCAAGCTATCATCCAAACGAAAGCTCTCTCTAAATAAAAGCAAATGTTAACTGTTTGCCTTTGATTTTCATTAGAAGTAGAGAATAAAGTATGTGTTTTACCATGTCAGATACTGATGACGCATGTGTAATGATTCAGTCCCCAAGTCTGAGTTTCTAGGCTCAATATAGAATGAAAGACTAAAGGAAGACATAGAGCCTAAAGGGTTGACAGAGCCAACACCTTATAAAACATAAAAACTATCCGTGATAATGATTAAGCAATTTTTACAAATAAAATTTTTATTCTGGACGCGTTTCGCTAACACTGTAGCTTCATCGGTAGTAACAGTACACAGAGAGGTATACAATTCTTATACACAACAGTAGTAGTTACCTCACTTAATCCCCTTCACCAGGAGGAGAAAATTGGACGGCGAAATATCTTGGCATTGTCCTTGATAAAAAACTCATCTGGAACGCTCACTTGGAAAAAGTTTTACACAAAGTCAGACTATCCCTATGGCCATGTCGAAGGATTTGAGATAAAACTTGGGGTTTAGGTCCCAAACAAATCCATTGGATTGATGATTGTCAGACCAATGATCACTTATGGTGGAATTGCCTAGTGGCAGAAGGCTTTACAGAAAACGGCCCAGGCGAAGCTCTGGCTTACAGAGACAGGCTTGTCTGGCCATCAGTGGTGCCATCAGTACCTCACCATCATCAGCCATGGAGATGCTTCTAGATCCACCTCCTCTCTACATTTTTCTGGATAGAGAGGTTAGATGGTCTGCATATAGACCTGTGCACATTGCCAATTGCATAAATCAATTTAATGCAGAGTGCAACAGAATGTTGATTGACACTGGAAGTCACAGCATTTTGGAAATGACCTCTGACTTTATGCCTCCAACTGTCAACTACGGTCTGCCTTATAAAGTACTGTTCCAGAGTAGAGAGGACTTGATCCTCCGGGAGAAGGAAATATTAAGAGCAGATAGTTGTTGGTTCACAAATGGATCAAAAACACCTTCCGGTTCTGGTGCAGGTGTTTTCAGTCGCATATCCAGGACAGAGATATCAACCTGCCTATGCGAATGTATTTTAAGCGGAAATTTACGCTATTGAATTATGTGTGAAGAGATTGGTAGCAAACTGCCAAAAACGACTCTCCTCGATAGGAAGACTGAACAGATTGTCCCTGGTCTGGATTCCTGGCCATACTGGCCTGGAAGGCAATGAGGCTGCTGATTCCCTTGCAAAGGAGGGTGATGCAAGCAGCTTCATTGGACCAGAACCTGCCATTGGCATCGTTTCAGGCTTTGCCAAACAAAGATTGAACACTTGGATGGCAAGAAGATTTATGGACTTCTGACAGAATCTTCCAGGACTGGCTCACTCTAAGGCGTTTGTTTACCCTTCGAAGCTTGATACCAAACAGTTGTTGGACTACAGTAGGGATAAACTAGGACGTCTAACAGGCCTTCTTATAGGTCACTGTCATTTGAATCATCATATGCAGAGACTCGGACTGTCGGAAGACAGTGTGTGTCGCCTTTGTTTGGAAAATGATGAAACAGCAGAGCACCTACATTGTGCCTGCCCCGCTGGGGACCGAATCAGGTTTTTAGAGTTCGACAGAGCCGTACTTTTACCATCTGACCTGAAAGATCACTCACTATACAAACTAATCGGCTTCGTCAAGAAGCTGGGTTTATTTGTCCGAGTGTGAATAGGTGTGAGCCACAATAAATCCATGCGGGTTGCGGTGGAGGGTCGAATAGACCCTCTCATTTTGAACCTAACCTACCTCACCTAATTGGTTGATGGTAAATGAGATAACAGATGTGTGTACTATTACTATCGATGAAGCTACGGTGTTAGCGAAAAGGGTATAAATAAAAATTTCATTTGTGAAAAATGCTTGATTATCATGCTTAGTACAAAGATTGTTTTCCACACAATTAAAATAACATTAATTTCTAATATTGCTATTTGTGCAAGTATGGTTGAAATACTTTTGTCACAGTATTCCAATCGTTATTTGTTATTACTGCAACATAAAACTGTACCCTCTGGCATAGAATAAATCCAAAACAAACATTGCTTCTGAATTCTAGAATTGCAAAACTCTTGAGGTGGGTTTCATCAGCTGAGTGAGTGTCATCAGGAAATGAACTATACTAATTCTGAATTATTTTATTTACATTTAACATTTATATTTAACATTACTTTTAGTCACACATCAATGATTTTTTGAGTATTAATTAGCGAGAATATTTGTGAGTTTTCCCGATCATTTTTTAGAGCAGTTCAAATAAAAATAATCAATGGCCTGTTTGGAAAGGAACCTTTCTTTATCCATAGTTCTCATGACACACTTTAGTATTTCCAGACTTTCAAAAAAGAATCTGAAAGTTTAGCTCATACACCGGAGTGTATTTCATCAGTTCGGACTTCCATTGTCTAATATAATATAAATTGATTTGAAAACCCTGAAAAAAACAATTAAAAATTAATAAGATTAACCGAAAAAATACATGACACTAGACTTTTGGATGTTTTCGAAAGCCTGGAAATAGGAACAGTGACATTCAGAGACCAAACAGCTCATCATTTACTACTCTGTTGAAATTAGAGAAAACATTTACGTGAAATTTCATGCTAACTTGGTTGGAGAAACGCACATCGAGAAGAGGGTGGCAGTTCTGGTGTGTGAGAGGGATGTTTGTTTTGTAGTTATTTGTAATAATAAATCGATGAAATAATTTAATTTGGACTACATAAGATATTGATAAAATCGATTTTTTTTCAATTCAATACCTCTACCAGCATGAACAAGTGCAACTACTTCCATAACTTGGGCGGGAGTTGATGGTGAGGAAGAGGTTAAAGGAGCAAATTTATTTATATGTGTAAGGTGGAAATTTCTATGAAAAGTTATTTTTCGAGATATTCTATGCTACTGCTTAATATATTATAATAACTATTGTGTAAGCTCATGCTCACAACATTTTTCAGTGTTATTATCATAACATACTTTTCTTTTCAACCTTCGAAAGGCTGAGTCTGATTGCTTCAATTTGTCATAATCGAATGACTTAGGTACATTTTTCATCATGTATCCTTATTACCCTTATTAACCAGACCATCCATAGTTATGGGGAGGGGGCTTCTACCAGGTTCTAACATTATAATGTATTCTTTCTACTCTCAACACAATAAATATGAATCTACCCTACAATTAAATGGAAAAGAGGTTTATTGTAACCAAGAAAAGTAAATAATTTTTAATTTCAATAAAAATAACTCCAGGTTTCAAAACACGTCTACTCTGCACGAAGTCATAGAAACTGAATCAATCTCATATATGACTTCTTCATAAAAGATGTCATTGCCTTTTCCAAATTTGTCCTTTCAGGAAAATGGACTCCAGCAATGCATTTGTGGTTTAGACTATCACCCCTGATAAAATCCTTGATGGGTCGAGACAGTGCTGTCTGGGGTTGGATCACAAATGCTTTGTTTTTGAGCTCTTGGTTTCAACAACATTGACGGTATTAACAATTTCATCAAAACATATTAAGTTACCGTGTACTAGTCCATTCCCAAGATTCAATCGAGTAAGAGTGAAAGAAAGGTAGCAAGTTGAAGAGAAACTAAGAATATTTATTGCCTCATTAAGCACACTGTAGTGGGTATCAGCATTCAAATATGATTCAGAGACTCATCCAGTACTGTTCAATTTTCGCTTACCTCAATTATTAATTTGGATTTGGACTTGTAAATTTGCCACTCAACTGAACTCTTCAGATCTTGACAAAATATTGGTTGAGAGTACTTACCATAGTACAGAAATGTCGATCCCTCGTATTGTTTCTTTTGAAATAAACCTCACTCCTCGGGTTGCTGCTAGCCAAGCATGTGAGAAGTGTCCACGATGTTGTGGATTCAGTATTATCATATCAAAAAACATTGTTGTAGATTCGGAATTCAGGAGCCAACTTCTGGAATAAAAATTATTCAAAGTGCCTCAACTCTTTGCATAAATGAAGAGGTGAGTGCATGAAGGGGTTATGTACCAAAATGTAAAATTTCCGGCTTTCAGAGGGAATAAAGGAGTTATGTGTTATACTTTTTTCTGCGCTGAGTCCTGCTCTGTAGAACCTGTATTAGCAGAGAATAGTGAATCTATTTCCATTTCCAACTCTTTTCCTGTTAATACTCCAAAACCTTCTTCTTCCAATGCATGTTCCTCCTGTTGAATATTATTTAATTTATTTCAATGCCAAAATGAATTATTGCAATTAGTGAATTTGAATGTGAAAAATGTAAATTTGATGAAAAATACATATTAGTCCAATTTTTATAAATTTACATATGAATAATATTTAATTTTCCAATGTCAAAAGTTGGTTTATATTTTGAAAATCTCAAACATAACGTAACATAACATAAAAAATCATCAATCGTCTGACATTACTAATTTACAATTCTAATGAAATATACCTTTCATGAGCTTCAAATGAAAATTCAGGAAAGATGAGCAATTTGAACAGAAGCTATTTTCTACATGAAAAAACAGAAAAATTGAATACTATGAATTACACTTCTTCGAGGTGCCTCTTCTCTCAGAGAAATCAAGTCGCTCGTAGCTTGGGGAATGAAACCTTCAATTTCTGGTAACTGCAATTCCTCTTCTCGAAACCCTATTTCTGATATTGATGCTACAGCGGTGGGTGTTTCAACAATTTGTTTTTTGCCTCGTTTTGTTTTGATTTTCACTACTGGAGTTGGAGGAGTTTCAAAAAGTCCTGTGGGAATTAAATGGATTACATAAAAATTACTTTTTCTTGAATTTTGAATACCCAAACATTCTTAGAAGAGTCAGAAATGCTTTATTGTCATAAAAGTTTAGGTTTTGTTGACAAAGCAGGCTTAAGAACTAAAACAATCTGAATCATTAAAATAAAGGTCGAGAATTGAAACAAGATATTAATTTGGCTCAAGCACACTTCAAAAAGTCTATGGTAAAAGTCTGTGATAAAAAATTTTATAGTTGCAATTATATTGCAATTATATCAGAAGTTGTTTTACTCTTTTCGAAACTGTTTGTAGCAGGTTTACTTTCTGATTGAAAGGGGGAGATGATTGAAATATTTTTTGCTATTATAAAGAATCGAGTTTTTAATTTGTGCTGTTGACGGGATAGAAAGAGGAATATTAAATGTGAGACGAGTGGCATAACTTTCAGCCGAGTTCGAGCTGTTATCTTTGTGCTTTTTGTGCATTAGGCAGAACTAAGATATATTCATCAACATTGAAACGTTTATTGAAAATTTCTACAAAATATACTACGAGGCAGTGTTGACAATACAATTATAATCATCAATTTTCAAGCACATTCAATTCAAAGCTGATAAATTTGAAATAGAATGACCTTAGAAAAGATATTAAAAGCAGACACGAATAAAAAATGTTGTAATTGTTGATACCATGACAGACAATGAATTGCATACAAACATTTCTATAAAAATCAGATTCCTAATACTTACCTTCTGCATGGACCGAAGTTAATCTATAACAAATATTAATAAGTTGGTAATGTGTCCTGTCATTTTTCATTTTGAAAACCTTACCTAACTTTGGAACCACTTGGAATATGAATAATCTGTAAGGCAGAAACAACCTGGCCTGCAAATGAAAGAATATAAATAACAAATACTATAATGTAAAATCTTTATTAGGCTGAAGTGTTTTGTAACATTAAAAAAAAACACGAAGATTCCTACCTTGGAGAAGAAGAACCTTCTCTTTGTAAATTTTCACAGTTCCATTCAGTAGTATAGCTGATAGTCTTAATGAAAAGCGTTTTTTAGGATCCTTTGAGGAAGTAGTAATGAAATTTGCCAACTGGTTGCTGAGGGATAAAAAAAGAAAAGCATGATATTGAAAAGTAATTCAGTAATATAATTTAACTAAATAATTCAACAATATAATTTACCTAACAGTAAAATGATATGAAATTTGAAAAACGGCTAAGAAAATAACTTCAAATGTGTATTGTGGTACACTAATACTGAATATTAAATTAACAACTTTGTTAAATCTAAAGACCATTTTTAAGTAGAAATCTGTTCTTCGCTTCTATACTAAGAAGTTTACCACAATTCTTTTTGTTTTTTAAATTAATTGTTGCTTGGTTCAAAAGTTTCGTCCGTTTTAATGTCATGCGTTTTTGTAGCTCAATAAATATTTATTCTAGTGTGTTATGGTATATACTGATCGATAGAGAGTTTTGTAATTTATACATTGATGGTGTTCATGTTTTCCAAAATTCAATTTTTCGCCTTTTGTCAGCTTATGATGTCGTTAAGCGATTTTTGGCAAAGTTTTCTCTATGAATTCAAATTGAACCAAAGAGCTACCGAAAGAGCCCGAAAAATTAACCAGACATTCGGCAATGATAGTGTTAATGAAAACACTGTTCGACGTTAGTTGGTAAAAATTCGTTCCGGTAATCCAGTACCTACAGTAATCTAGTCTACACCCTGGTGGAGACTGATTCATCACAAACGGTGCGTGGGATGGCAGAAGAACTGCGCGACGGCTCCCATGCGGATTTTGATGGTTTAAATACTCCCTAGACCTTTCGCCAACCGACTACCATCTTTTCAAGAACTTCGATAACTTTATAACCGGTAGCACCATCGTCAATCAGGCCAGGCGAAAACGGCCTGGTCCTGGCGCTTATTTCTATCAATCTGAATAAGTATTCACTGAGATATTACAGTTTAAAGTAGACTTATAAACGTTCAAAACTTTTCAAGCAACCTAATATTTTCGTTTGCTTTAAATTTCCAGGAGAGAGCTCAGATTCTCTACTATTCTCTCTTCTATGTTATTCCCTAACACTAAACACTTTACCATCATTTAAGAAAGTTTACGAAATGTTAACCGCCAACTTTGTGAATATGTTGAAGGCAATAACCTGTTGATGAATATTTCATCAGTTCAGACTTCCATTGTCTAATATAATATAAATTGATAGATATAGATTAACCGAAAATAACAATAATTATTTAAACAAAAAACTGAAATTACAAGGAAATAACATACAAGCTACAACCAGAAAATAAAAAATTGAAATATTAATAAAAGCTGAAAATTAAAAAACAACAAAAATGAAAAATTAAAATTAAAAGATTCCAAACCATGTTACGTCACGACGTTTCGATTGTTAGTATCCACAATCGTCTTCGGGTGATAACTGGACTTATTCCTCCGAGATTTGACTATTTATAGGTCATTCGGGTGCTTTCACCTTTCACCTATCCCCTTTTTCCGCTTCATTGGTTTTAGCGGGAGATGACCTTTTGGCGGGAGTTAGATTTGGAAAATGGGTCTAAAAGAAACATAGAGAGTACAGGGAAAATACAACTGGAAACATACAGAACTGCTTCAACAAAGCAGTGATCAGATCAGAAACTCAGAACAATTACAGGACTTCTCACTGGATACTCTGCATTAGGAGGACACCTGAACAAAATAGGGTTACAGAGTTCTCTCTGAAGAAACTCCATCATATTATCATATTCTAATCATTTCAGTATCTTTCATAATCGAATTCACAATTGCCCTATGAGAGGAAACAATAACTTCTGTATTTCACAAAACAACTTTACGAGTACTATGAACTCTATTTCACAGGGGCTATTAGGCTATAATAAAATACCATATGATATTGAAAAATTTAATTCTTTGCACCACTTCAAATGTACCTTAGCTGAGTATTGGAAAGCTAAATATAAAACTAACTAATTATGAAACCATTTTCAACTAATATATCTGTTCAATTTATTTTATACTATGGAAAATGAGACATATAACTTTCTATGTTTTTAACCCCTTTTATTCGTAACTAATGTTGTTACTGCAGTTTTGTCCTATAACATTTTCAAACAATTACAATAAACTGAAAATAAATCATCATGTTAGCCCTTTTATATCTATTGTAGGTGTTAATAGAGGTCCNAAAAAGCATAAGTGAATGTTTATTTTCAATTTGATATTATGATTAAGAAAGTAATGATACTCTAGTAGCAGAAGGTGGATTTGAAAGGGTGAAGGATTATTCAAAATATGAAGTTGGTTTTTGGTGTAGGCTGATACAAACTTAGTTTATCCGTGGTGGATTGACAGTAATTATAAAATGTTTCATTTACCTTTGGCACTGAATACAGATGATTACTCGAATTTTTACACTGTTCACACAAAATACAGAATTGTCCCATTTTACAAAAAGTATCCTTATACACTATATAAAACTATTCCTTATTACTACTGAAAAATGTAACCAAACTAAAATAACTGAGAACTAACGAACGAAAACTATAATAAAAAATGCGAACAATGTAAAGATTGGGATGACAAAAAATATCAATTTCAAAATACCAAAAGTTGAAAATTCTTTTTGACAATGACAGATAATAATTAATTTGACTGACTCAGCGGGGACTCGAACAATTCAGAATAGCGCCATCTTGGGAAAACCTCGTAAGTGTTGTTAAAAGCAACAGGTGGTTCCTCCAAAAAGTTCAAAACAAAATCTAAGCGTTACCAACACCAGGGTTTCTAGGAATCTTAATTCAGAGATTCTTAGACGGTTTCGATTTTGATTCTATAATTCTTTTCCCGCCAATCCTGTGTCTGACTGAACTTCAAATGTTTTAGGCAGTGTGGCCAAACACGAAATACAAAACTTGATGTATTTTTACGATTGAAACGCCCTCTGTTCTTAGAACATGGTCCAAGAATAATCACTTCCTAACGCTAGTGAGCAAGTTTTTGACAGTGGTTATGTGAAAAAATATAATATTGTTGGTCACCTTTGAAACAATTCCCAAATGTGTCCATGAGAAGTCAGTGGTTAAATTATTTTCTAAGTGATAACTGGAAACCATACACTGCAATCATTTTTATTTTCCAATCAGTTAGTCTTATAGTAATTGAAATAAATATTGAAGCTGGCTGCTTCTTTTAAAAAAATACTTTCAAGTCCTGATGAGTCAGAGAAAGATGACTGACGATACATTTTTTTTACTATTTTCTGTTACATCCATATTCGATGAAATAAAGGACTGAGTAATGAGGTAAAATGAGATTTTGAGTAAGGTACAATTTTGTGTTCTATAAATATGGATGCACTTACTGGTATAAACAGAAAACTCAGTTCCTCATAACAAATGTGTGTTTACATTTTCGAATGCAACAACAGAAACAAATTCCATAAAAGATGTCTATGAGTATTTCGTTCAGTTCATGTTTTGAAAAAGCTATCTTATTCCTAATTATGACATACTACAAAGTTTCATAAAAATAAATTGAGAGGAGTGTATTTTTTAAGGAGAGATTAGTTTCTGAAAAAAATTAAATTTGAAAAGTTCAAAACCGAAACTTATTCGAAGATATCAAAATCTTCTGCACATTCAGCACATCTCAAAGAATCTGCTTCGCAATGCAGCTTGTATGCTATTCTGCATTTATGGGTTATTGGTTCCAGTAATACCATCTTGGTTATTCCAATTGTGGTAGGTACTAAGGGAATTGACAACCTTGACTTTTTGAACAATTCGTCCTTTCAATTTTCATCTGTGATTTCGTCATTCCTCATAGCGGTTCATGTTATCCATGGTGGTAGACGTGTACAAGAGCTTCATTTTCAAATCAGGTGAACTCTTACATCGAGACAATATCGAATGTCTCTCTCTGTTCTGAAAGTAAAGTAGGGAGGGACATCCGATTTTTATCTCAATGTGAGAATTCACCTGATGTGAAAATAAGGCCCAAGGTCGGTTATATTCCAATGAGTTTCTGCATCAACGTAGGTATGCAATCACTTTAGGTTTTTTGTGTTCAGTTATCTCGTTTACGCCACCCTGTGCCGGGTAATGGCTTTTTTGTCGTCCCTATCATGTGCATCCGCTCTAGTCAGGGCAGAAATTTCTCAACTATTCCAAGTCGAAAAAACAGCATTATGTTGGGAATTTTGTAAAATTGTCACTTCAAAATTTGTGGACAGTTCACTACTGTTCTCTTACTTGGGAGAAATTAACCTTTTTTTGAAGTTTTCGAACAATTCAGAATTTCAAAGTATGGGATCTCCAAGATATGCATGTTGGGAAATCCCAACCTTCTGATTCTTTCCCTTTTGTTATTACCTCTCCCTTTCTTTTCTCTCTTTTTTTTAATTTTTATTCATTTTTTCACTATTATTTTTTTCTATCTTCACGGCCCAAAATTTTCCAACTTTTCCCCAAGTCGAAATGGCCCCCATGTGGGGAGCCCCATGCCTCCCCCCAAGGCGACGGTCCTGGCTCCAGTGTGTTTCTTTGGACATGCGCAAGCTCATGACGGTTCGCTGCTCAGAATTAAATTCTTCAATTTCTTATTTGACATCGGAATTTTATTTTTTGAAATGACCTTTCTAATGTCCCTGGCGTACCTATCTGTCATCCTCTCAAACCCAAACCATGACTTTTTTGGTCAGATATTATTGGTTGTTTCTCTGATTCTCTTCGGTTCGGCAGTTACCTCCTCGCTTCCCTCATCATCTCTGGCTGTCTTCGTGGACGTATCTTTTTCATCATCCCACGTAAGGTCCAGCACTCCGATTGTTGAAGAGGCGGATCACGCTTTTCTTCTACTACAAGTAAATTTCAACCCTTCAGCTCTTGGAGAAGCGGATTTCATCGCTCGGTTTTCGGTTTGTCACGTCTTCTGATCGGTGAGGTTTCGTGGTATATTTTCAGTTTCACTTATATTTGAAGCCATATCATTCTCACGAGTAGCTAGAGCTAGAGCGTGCAGGGGTAAGGCTAAAATCCTCGCCGGAGGTCACCCATTCCGGCGGACATCGCTCGAAGCACACTTAGTCACCCCTGTGCCATGCATCCCTTCAGCGTGATGGTGCTATATTTCAGTATTGGGGGACGTATGCATCACACTCCAACTCCGCATCAGTTTGAAACGCAGCAAGAGGGCGACTGGAAAAAAAGGATACAGCCGCCTCACCTCTATCCTGTAGTATGAAAGGTAGAGAAGCCTTCAGTTTCGGGTACCCTAATAGCCAGGGGGTCAGAAAAGAGCAAGGGTTGGTCAAGAATGACCGATAGATACAAAATAGTGAGTGAGTTGAAGCAAGTGAAAGCTCCGGTGAAGAAATTTTAGGGAAGCCATGCCTGCACACCAGATGTGTATCTCCAGGCATATTATTTTTTCGATAATTTCCCTTCTAGATTCGTTGGATGCCGTAACAAACAGGTCCTTCGCTTGTAGGCACTCGAGCGATCTTGGCGGTAGACAATCACTTAACCTAACCTAACACAACCTTACCTTACTCTTTTTTGGGTGGAAGGAAACCCATCATAGGCGCCATATGCTTAGTTTCTATCTCAATCCAGTAGTGTCGAACTTCTACCGACTAAAACCTCCTGGCAGGCCATGAAATCTTCAGCGTCATGGCATGTCTTTCCCAGACATTCTTCACGGCACTGGATGACAACAATGGTTTTATTTTTGAAATAATTTTGGCAGCATCTCTATTAGGGAAAATGGTCTTAATACAGATGTCGTTTCTATAGATACAACAGATGTGTGTATCAGAACCAGCCTTGCTTTTTCAGGTTTTCGGAAAATCTTGATGCCTGAGAAGTTTTCATTACTCTCAGCATATGTAATGAGAAGCTGTTCTAACTTCTATTACCGCTTCAGAAGGGATCTTGTCTATAACTGGGGCTCTACCGATTCTGTTGATTTAAGAGTTGAAGTCTCCGGCAATAATGATTTGTATCCTTTTCCCTCTAATATGGTTCATTAGTCTCATGATATATACCTCACATATTTTGTCACTGGTGTTGGGAACACGCAATTTTCAATCCCTCCAGCTCAAAAACAATATACTGCCCTTCTCTATACAACCTTTTTACTTTTTAGGTTTCTGTTTAGGAAGTATATGGCCACGTCTTGTTATCGTCTATCACCCAATGATTTTAATTAGGTTCTCCGGTTAGTACGAAGTTTGCTTTTACTTCAGCAGCAGTTAAATATGTCATATCACGGGATTTCTTCTACTGTCTAGATTTAATATGAACGATATATTTATACATTCCATTGTCGGGAGGAAGATTACCGAAAGTTCAATAACGATAAAGCCCTTTACTTTACAACCTTTTTACCTTTTAGGTTTCTGTTTAGGAAGTATATGGCCACGTCGGTCGATTCGACGTGGGTGCTTTGTTCACTCACTCAAATCGACCGCCGTGTTGGTCGGTGGTTCAAGCCCCAGGCTGAACGATCGATTTTCACTTGCTATCGTCCAACCTGTGTTAGGAATCACACGTTGAAAGGTAAGACCTCGTTAGGTCCTTAGCTCGCAGAAGTTACGACTTCTGAGGGTTGTCGTTCGTAGGGGTGCGACAGCTGGTTAACGGAAAACAGTTTTTTAAACGTCTTGCTATCGTGTATCACCCAATGTTTTTATTAGATTTTTATTAGGTTCTCCAGTTGTAGTACGAAGTTTGCTTTTTCTTTAGCAGCAGTTAAATATGCTATATCACGGGCATTTCTTCTACTGTCTACATTTAATCTGAACTCGCCCTGTCTCTTCTGTTCTCCAACTTTTGTTTTAGTGTACATTTCAGATGTCGTCCTTATGATCACTTACGTTGCATACTGAGAATGCGATGTCTTTTTGGCAAGTTTTTGCATTGTGGTCTTTGTCTCCACACTTATAGCACATCATAGTTCTGTCGGGTCCTTCAGATTCCTTGAATATGTTATTATACCCCTAGCATTTATAACAACTTTTCATTGGTATTCTACGTTCTAGTTTGCATTCCACCATGCCTCTTTTAATATCTTTCCTTTTTAAGAGTTTTTCGGCGGAATGTTTCCTTAGCACTATAGTAGCGGCTAGTTGATGGTCATTTACGAGGTGTCTCATCTTGCTTATCTTCTCCAGCGCCATGTCAAACTCGATCTCTTCTTTGAGGTTTCGATATTATTTCTTTTGGATATGTGTGTCCATAACTCTGATATCAATAATCTCCATCTCTACTTTTCCACCAGTGCTCTCAGTTCTCAGGTTTCCTGGTGCGTCAATTAGATCCCTGATCTGCTTGAAAGATATGCCTTCGTTCTCTGTTACCAATAACAAATTGCTTTTTCTAGCGCTTTTCAGTGACTTTATTGCTGAACATACTGATTTAACTCCCAGGGTCTTTATCCCTTCCGATCCTGCAAGATTTTCTTGGAATTATTTACATTGACAAAATCAAGTTACAAATTATATTCTTGTTTATCTATACAGAAAAACTCGCTACAAAAGGACTCTTATCAACAGAATTCCAAATATTAACCCTTTAAGTTGCAGAAGTCTGGGAAACATTTTAACTGATCATTTACTAGTGCTTTCCAATGAACTGCAGTTTACTAGGAATAAAATATTAGTTCCATATTTTTTTCTCTTCTGGTTATTTTTTTTAGAGGTGGGAAATTATTATCCCAAAGAACTTTTAGTGGGACAAGTTTACTGGGAGAATAATTTCCCATCTACATGAAATAGAAAACTTATTCTCATCTAAAGTGTCATTGATGTTTTTTTTTATTATTAAAGTATAAAATGTTTACCAAATACTAAACTGAATCCTTATTTTTACATAAAAGTATGAAATAACTTAAGTAAGACTTATAAAAAGAGCAAAGTACTAAGTACTAAGGTGAACTACGACTTATGGAATGGTGTAAAACAATTTTCACACAGACCGACATTACAGGTTGAGTAAATAATGTTGCTTCGTTTCTCTTTGGCTTTGGTGCTACACTGATCGCATCTTCTATAAGTTTTAATCGTTGTAGGCATATGCGATCGCCTATGTTCATGCCTTCAGGAATAGGTGACTGTTTGCTTTCTTTGGTCACGTCTGGGTCGTGAAAAACTGGTTGTATAGATGTAAATGATATATTTAATATTTCTGAAGAGGGAACTGGAACCAAATCTGAGATGCTTGTATGAAATAAGACATGTTCAGATTCTTGTTTAGGGTCACTAGGAAATTGCTGGTCTTGTTCTAACGTGAGAGTTGACTTTTTCATCGAGCTTTGGAGGGATTATCTATCCATCCGAATCTTCCTCACATTCAGAATCAATAGCCATATTATCACTGATAATATCTTTTTAATTCATCAGCTTTTTAACTCCTCATCTGACACTTTTTTTGAATGCCGCATATATTGACTATATTACATGGGACTAAAATTGTACATTGACACTGCAAAAAACACGCAAAATAAGATTATGCGTGTAATTTCAGCCCAGCCAAGTATCAGATACGTAAAATTATGTTTTTTCCCNTCGAGGGAATATATGTGTAGAATATGGAAGAAAAATTTCAGAACGAATCGAAAAATACTTGTGATTCATTAAAGTTTTTTTCCCAACAACAAACCGTTATTTTGACACCTCGACACGTGTTTCGATCACCAAGTGATCATCCTCAAGAGGAAGATCAAACTGGTCTTGAACACGTGTGAAGGTATTGAAAATAACGATTTGGTTTCGGGAAAAAGTCCAGTAAAATTCGAAGAATACTGATGGAGAAATAATATGTGGATGGTGAATGTGTGGGTTGAATACAATTATAGCCATAGGTTGTAGAATGTTATGTCGTTTCCTTATTTTCACATCGTTGTTATTCAATAATTGTTTTTCCAATAACTCCAATAGTATCTGCAATACCTGAAGGGCATCTGGCATGAATACAACGATTCACACGTGTTCCCAATTTCGCCAAAATCACTTGTGAGCAATGAGGCATACAGGAGGGAACGAAGCAGCACCTTTGATGTGATTTTCTTCTTTCCTTTTTTTATAATCTTAGTTCTTTGAATTGATTTGTATTTCATGATTGTTCCAAATTTCATTATAAATTACAAATACATAAAAAAAAATTTACTTTGTTAATACGTAGGTATGTATTCCTCCTAGTTATCAGACATTTTGAGTTTCACACATAGTTAAAGTAAAAGCAATTGAACATTTTTCCTATCTGGCTCGGTTTTTAAGATATTTGCGTTTCATGAAAACTCCAAATAATATTACATTACATTAATGTACAAAATGGAAATTTAAGAGAGAGACAAGGTCATTTTATTATCACATGATAATTTTTTCAATAAATCATTCGATTCTTACCACTTCATTGTGATATTTCCACTAGACAGTTTACAATATCTCAACACGTGTTTCCCTATAGGTACAATAATGGCTTTATCAAGCGTGTTCATACTCAACGCTCGATGAAAACGCTTCATAAAGCTATTGTATAGCAAAACAAGTGTGTAAGTTTTGTAAACTGTCTAGTGGAAATCTCACAATTAAGTGTTTCTTGAATAAGCAATTACATTGTATGAAATATTGCATGCTGGATTTCCATTGCGCTGCTACTCTCGGCCATCATTTTATACTGTTTAAGTTTAAAGTAAGGTAGTTGATAATTTATATTAAGAGTTGTTTCAAAAAATTCGATATTTCAATCGAATTCAGAGCCAATTGTAATGCTCACAACTTCTGACAAAACTGCGGTTTGGTGATACCATCGGTTTGTGTCGATAACAACTGAAAAAAGAAAAGAAATAATGAATAAATAATTGTTTTTGAGTTTAGGATTTGCACTCAATTGTGTGAGCAATCAGACCTATCCTGTAGTCATCATCGACAGGATTCTATTCTACTTACTTATCTCTCCGGGCTGGACCAAAACCTCAATATTTTGACAAACATTGTAACACTCTGGAGGAGGGGCTAACTTCCATAGTTTTTTACCTTTGAGCTGAGCTTGCCAAGATGGATAGAGAACATTATCAACCTACAAAATAAAGATAAATATTACTTGTGATGCACTGTTTTGAACCTTTGGTGTAGTAATAAATATTACAGGAATGTAGCATAGGAAAGAATCCTGTGCTATTTATCGCCAGATGGTACTAGTTGACCGTCTGCGAAATAATTAGTCGCAATTCAGCATTGGCGAGTAATAAGGTTTTTGTTGTTTTCCTTTTTATTTGACCTTTCGTTTTTTATTTCAAACTTTATTCTGTGAATTCGATGCCGGCACACCAAGCTGATAGCCTTTTGGGATAAAATTTATTTGTTAAATCTTGCAAAGCGAATTTTTCTTCCTGGTGTTAGGTGAGTGATAATTGTGGTCTTTAAAATGAATGTATTAATGAAAGTAGTAAATTTTTAGTATTTTGGAGTCGTTATCGAAAATCAGCAATAAACTGAGGCATTCTGAGACACCATTACTATTACCCAGAACCTATACAAAATTATCCCTGTTACAGTATTGTACACCTTAAGAGGGTCTACAAAAAAAGTCCTCGATAATACATGTATATCTCTTAGGGATAACCCACAATAACCATTTTTTATTAATGGCTCATTCACGAGGCGATTTTTAAGCAATACAGCATTAATCCTTATCCAATTAGGTACTTCAAATACATTGTGCATTTAATATAAATCAATATGACCCTCTACAGCACCTCTACAGTACTCTGAAGTACCTGAATGAATATTTTCAAAGATATTACATATTTAAAATGTAGGGACAAGCGGTTGCGGCGGTACTGGCCGGGGGGCACGTGCCTATGAATAGCACGTCGAAAGCCGCGCTTCGCCCTATATCACTTTATGATTAGCAGCTACCGCTCGCGTTTATGTGTACAGGGTATATCTTGACGAGTTAACGCAATCTATATATAGAAAACTGAGAGTAGGACGATCCTAAAAATTGGTAGGATGGGTGAAGAACTAATGAAGAATTCAACTGAAATATTATCGTTGAGGTGACATTTCGGGTTTCACCGGAAGTGACGTTTCGGGTTTCACCGGAAGTGAAGTCATCTTTATTATTTTTAATGGCACACCCTGTATTTCACCTCATTTTTTAATTCTTCCCATGATTTATATTCTAACTTATGTATCATACCCTATATCCGAAATGAAACGTTTTCGAGGTTTTCGAGTTTTTTTAGAAAAAGTGATAGATGCAGCCTCTCGAACATAAGTCATTTTTATGTAAATTAACATTTTTGAAAATATGCAGTGATATCGTGATAGTTGAAGGTTGAACGGATCACGCATCATTTTCACGTCCACTGAATAATCCACAGGGTGCGCAAAAACTAGGGTCCAATAAGTGAATAAGAAAAATAAAAAATCTCAACTTTTTCAAATGGGAACCCCCATTTTTTTCCTCAAGGTTCAATTCTATTATGAAAATAAGCCCTAGTTATGATACACTTCCCTATACCCAAAATTCATAATTTTGGAGATATTCCATTATATTTACATACTTTTCCGAAATGTTGATATTTCTAGTAGGCTGCTGTCCATCTTTCAACACAATGTTTGGTGACAAATGAAATAAAGTTGTTTATTGTCAGATTCGTGCTCTCAGAAGGAATATATGGCTCGTGCTGGTTATAATAATCACGATTTCTTTAACTTATTGGTGATTTATGGCGAATGCAATGGAACAAAAACATGTGATGCTTATGCTACAAGTAATCCAGAAAAACCGAAACCATCTCCAGATATCATTAGAAGATTAATCTTCAATCTTTTAAGAACTTTGGATCGTTCGAAAGGAAAATTATCAAAAGTAAAACGGTGATTGACAATGGAAATAATGCGATTACAGTGCTTGGGTACTTCACTGCTTTTCCAGAAGCATATTTGAAAGATGCGGCACGAGATTTGGGATTGAATAAAATGTCCATGCGAGAATATTAGCAAAACATAAATGGCATCCGTTTCTCATACTTTAGTCCATGGCCTGAAGCTATCCGATTATGAGTGAGAAATTAACTTAGCGAAGTTCTTCATTATGAAAAATCAAGAAAACGACCAATTTTTGAGGAATATTATATGGAGCGACGAAGCGAAATTTACCAGAAATGGGATATTCAACAAGCGGAATTCTCACTACTGGAGCGATACAAACTCGCATTCAGTTCGGGAACGTCAATTTCAAGACCGTTGGAATTTCAATTTTTACTGCGCTGTTAAAGACGACGCAATAGTGATGCTTCACTTCTATGACGAAAATTTAAATGGTTAGTTGAAAAGTATCGGAATTGTATTGTTTCATTGATTTAAACAAGCTAAAATACATCACTCAAAAAAATGGCATCAAGGTAGCTATGTAATAAACATTTATAGCATCTAGAAAATACATAACAGACCAACAGGTATTTTTATTTTCAGGTGAACGATACCTAGATATTTAAAAAAATCTCGCTCGCTGACCATCGAAAAATTTGGTATCAACATGATGGAGCACCTCCACATAATCATCAAATGGTGAAGATGTATTTAGAAGAAACTTATTACGGCCAGTGGTTTGGAACCGACGGTCCTCAATTATGGTAACCGCGATCGCCCGATTTAACTCCAATGGATTTTTTTATTTGGGGTTATATAAAAAACGAAGTGTATTCTAACAAGCCAACGACAAAAGAAGATTTTCAGCACAGAGTTCGTACTGCTTTCAACTCTATTCCACCGGACATGATAAGACGAGTTGTAGGAAATATCATACAGAGAAGTGTAAAATGCTTAGAAGTTGGAGGCAATGTATTTGAATATTTGTTGCAATAAAAAAAGCGGTTGACAAAAGTGTCACATGTTCTTGTTTAGCATTGAAATAAATTTGAAATTGTTGTTTATTCTAATCATGATTTTTGTCTTGAATATGGAATTATTTTTCATGAGATATTCAATGGAAACTAGGCAACAAAGAAATTTTATCGGACAAAATTTGGGGGTGAAAATGTAAATCCTCGCGGGATGATAACTTCTATTGCGGAATATCACCAAAATTATAAGTTTTAGATATAGGGAAGTGTATCATAACTAGGGATTATTTTCATAATAGAATTGAACCTCGAGGAAAAAAATGGGGGTTCCCATTTGAAAAAGTTGACATTTTTAATTTTTCTCATTCACTTATTGGATACTAATTTTTGCGCACCCTGTGTATTATTCAGTGTACGTGAAAATGATGCGTGACCTTTCAACCTTCAATCATCACAATTCATTAGCTGCATATTTCTAAAAATGTTAATTAACATGAAAATGACGTATGTTCCAGAGGCTGCATGTATCACTTTTTCTAAAAGAAACTCGAATAACTCGAAAACGGTTCATTTTGGGTATAGGGTTTGATAGATGAGTTAGAATCTAAATCATGGGAAGAATTCAAAAATGAGGTGAAATACATGTCATTAAAAATAACAAAGATGACGTCACTTCCGGTGAAAGCCGAAACGTCACCTCAACGAAAATATTTCAGTTGAATTCTCCATTAGTTTTTCATCCATCCTATCAATTTTCAGAATCGCCCTACTTTCAATTTTCTATATATAGATCGCGTTAACTCGTCAAGATATACCCTGTATATTTAGTATCAGCATTACACCCGTGCGGAGCCAGGTCGGGTCACTTGTATTTTTAATGAATGCTCAAATATACTTTCAGAATCATCAAGTTTTATTTCAACAAACCAAAGAGTTTTGAAGTTTTTTTGGACAACATACTTTTAATAAAATTCATCAGTTTTCATGCTAATAAATATTTATAGTTAAAAACACTTTTTTTTCTGAAGATCTCACATATAAATCCCAACTCACGTGCATCTGTGCTCCATCTCCGGGGCCGCCCATGAATATCCAGCTGAGAGCAATATTTTCTGAATAATTGCCCAAGAAATATGGTTTAGAGTAATACTTCCTTAAATATTGCCCAGCTTTATCCATGCAATTGCTCCAACCAACATACCATGGCTTTTCTCCAGGGACAAGATTTGCTCTGGACTTGGACATTTCGAACACTTCTCTCAAATTTTTAAACTCAGTTTTATAAGGAAAGAACTGGCAACTCTTTGACAGGATTTTTCCATGAATATTTTGATAAAGACGTTGGAAAAATTCAAATGAGAATTCATTTTGTGCCGACCAGTCTCTCATTCCATCGGCTACAATAACAGGCTTGCCCAGTAGAGCGTATTTTGAATGAAAATCGGTGGAAGAAATGTTTTCTATTCTATCGACGTTTGCAATATTGCGACAAAAGTCGCACTTTTCCGGTTCTCTGAAGATTTTCGTTGCTGTCGCAGGCATTTCAAGTAGACACTTCAAAAAATTATTCAAAGTTATTTCCTCAATGAAATAATTTATAAAAATAATTTGTGAAATGAAATATTGTACATTTTTACCTGAGGATTGTGAAACAGGTCGCGACTTCCATATAAGAGACCGAACACAAAACACAAATAAGTACACATTTTGAACATCACGATGTGATGTTTTATAAAATTGTAGATGCAATGAAAAAAAGTATTTCTGAAACAAACGTACGTATTCATAGGAACGTACATCTCCTAACAAGCATAGAGCGGTTACTGAAGGAATTCTGTTCTCTTTCTGTTACAATTACCTTATCACTAACCACACCACATGTGTCTGTCCAATGAAGCGTTAAGCAAATTGAATTTTCTTTTCAACCACCTGATGCATCTAAATTCATGGATGAAGGGAACTTTCAAGGCAGTAGATATATTAAGAATTAATTAGAAATCACTAACTGAAAAATTTTCAAGGAAATATTTTAAAAGTTAGGGACTTTTCTCAACATTTTCTACATTATATGATGGAATTGGCGGATACTTGAAAATCCATAACTAACGTATTCAAAAAACACTTTTACAGAAACGAAACACATGTTTCGCGTTTTTGTAAAATTGTTTAGTGAAAATCTCACAATAAAGTGTTTTTTGTATACGTTTCTTCTACATTTTCAGAACTAAAAGGGTTATTATTTATACATGAATGTTTTTAGAGATGATCTGAAATGGTTTTAAAAAGCATCTGGACGTACCATTAACACCTCAACACTTGTTAAACTAAGAAAATTCATTACAATATTGGCTCAAACAATATCTAAGTATTTCATATTATCATAGTTACTTCTTTGCATGTTATACAGATATTTGTGAAGAGTTTTTTTTTGAAATTAATTTCTTTCTTTGGAAGATGTCCACATTATATTGCTAAGAGATGAAGAATAAGAGAGGCAAAACTTTTCCCAAATTTGAATTGAAGGGGTTATATTTTTAGGAGTGATTAATTTTTGGGAAAGAAGTTTTTGTCTTTCTACTACTCCATCTTGATACAAAAAATGGATGAGGGAATCTTCCTTCCTTTCTTTGGAAGATTCCCTCATTTTTGTATCAAGATGGAGTAGTAGAAAGCCAAAAACTTTTTTTCTCAAATGTTTTTATGTTGACAAAATAACTTTTGAAATACAACTAAATGAATATACCTAGTACAAACTTTAAATATTTTATAAACATGAGAGGTCTTGAAAACCTAGTCATCATCTAAAAATCTTCTTTTAAAATTCAATGTGGTTTTTATTCATATTTTTAGATTGAAAAACATAAAAACAGTGTAATACAGCTTGGGGCAGTATCGTGTGTCCCACCCTATTAATGACAATCCCGAATTTTAATTAATACATAATTCTTCTATGTTGTAGTATGCTTTTTTATACCGTATTTGAAAATTTCTGACAAAAATTAAAATACAAACAAATTTTGGATAAAGTCGATGGGATCATTTTATATAATTCAGTTTCAGAAACAATATTACAAAATTTAAATATCAATTGAAAAAATCTAATAAGTGGAATTCCATAGTTCGCTTTTCATTGTATTACACTTGAAATCGTTTTCAATATGCACTTTTTGTAACCAATTTTATTTTTATTCTCAAGCCTCAATAATGCTAGAGAAAGCTATTGTATAGCGAAACACGTGTAGCGGTTTTTTTAAAACCCTTTATAGTGAAAATCATATAATGAACTGTATTGATCAGTTTGAATAAGGGTTTCAAATGGTCCCAATATTTGCTTAAAAGATGTATTTCGCTGCTCTTTTATGTAAAATAAAAACTGAATGTATCAACTGTTTGCGACACCATATCTCAAGTGAGATTCGATAATAAAAATAATAGTTGTTTCCAGTTCGTTGATGATGTCTAATGGTATAACAGCTGGATAAAAATTTTTTGTTCAGGTATTTTATATGATCAACAAATTTCATAGTTATAAATTCAAATTTACAAGAATTTTTCCGATAATAAAAATAATAGTTGTTTCCAGTTCGTTGATGATGTCTAATGGTATAACAGCTGGATAAAAATTTTTGGTTCAGGTATTTTATATGATCAACAAATTTCATAGTTATAAATTCAAATTTACAAGAATTTTTCAGATGTTTTTCTTTACTATGCAGTGAGTTTGAAGGCAGAGAATATGTTGGTTTTGCTAAAACACTTATTAAATCAGTTTTCCTTCACAATCACATTAGACAAAAAAACATCATCATGAAATACTGGCTGATTCAACAGGTCAAACATAAAAATACATTAAAAAAAAAGTTAATAAGCTACAATCAAATTAGGATTCAAGGAGAAACTCATCCACAGAGTAGTATGCTTTTTGCAATAGAAAAATCTTGAGTCGCCTTTTAAACACATTGATATTTGAGGATTTAATGTCCTCACTAAGCTTATAATATAGCTTAAATGTTCTTGGATTTGCTCATTCCTAAGAATAATTGAAATATTGTTTTTTTTTATATATGTATCAGAGTTTGGTAGATATACAAACTAGGCATTGTTAATCAAATATAACGAATGAATAATGGCCTGCAGTGTGCACTTGAAGATGCATCAGCCAAAATTCTGATTACCTTTTTCTGAATAGTAAAAACTTCATCAGCTTTAGCTCATAAGCTCCACTGTTCAAGACCATAGGAAATCACTGACTGAATTAAACTGTGGTATAAAAGCTTGAGAAGATCAAGAGAGAATGTTTGTTTTATCTGACAAAGTAAATATATGTGTTTACTGAGCTTCAGTTTGACACTATGAACATGTAACTTCCAGTTACGTTTATTATCAATATAAACACCTAAGAATTTAGTACAAATAACTTGATGTAGAGTTTCATTATTTAATCTAACCAAATAGCTTTTATCAATTGTTGTATTTTTAGTAACAAAGTTGAGCATTTGAGATTTAGCAGCAGGCTATTTACAGAACACCACTCAGAAATCTGATCAGTTTTGATAGCTACAATAGCTTTGACAATTAGTTCGGATATAGTTTCCGCATATACCAAGATGTTAGTGTCGTTCACAAAAATAATAGTAATGGAAGCTTTTGAAGAAAATTTCGGAAGATCATTTATAAAAACAAAAAAATAAAAAGGGTCCCAAAACAGAACCTTGAGGTACCCCTCTTGATATACATTTTCTTTCAGAATTCATTCCATTCACACAGACCAGCTGATTACGATCAGTCAGGTAAGATCCAACCCAATTCAATGCAGAGCCACGTATACCATAAAACTGCAATTTGTATAACAGTATGTCATGGTCAACGAGGTCAAAAGCTTTGCTCAAATAAAAAAAAATAATAAGTCAGAGTCATACCAACAATATACTTTTTTTCAATCAATATTTGTATTCTTGAAAATACAAGCTATTCCATGCCCAATAGAGTGGTATCTTTTACAAATAGTATAAGTTTCTTTCATTTATGATAGGAAAATATTTCACATGTATAAGGAATAAGATAAGACCTAGTACGGATCATTGGGAAACCTTAGTGAGTCCACGGGGCTTCTTGGGAGAGGCAATGGATTGCACTAGGGACCACTAGTTCAATCAATAAGATAACACAAAAAATCAACAATTTATTTACAACAGAAAATTACTCAGAATGTAATAATTATATTCAAGGAGGCAGAAGCCCTATTTGTTGTAGGCAAATTGTCGCTGCGCTTGCCTTGGCTTCCTTCTTATTGTTACTTGCTACATTTGGTTTGTATTCCATTCCATTAAGTACAACCTAAAAAAAATTAATACAACATGAAATGCAAGTTAATACTTCAAATGAAATTTTTGAAATCATATCATATTTGTCATGTGTCTTTCTAGTACTAAGTCTGATTGAAAACAACATTGTTTTTTTTCGAAAGTTGGTCTGAAAACAAAAGTTTGCATTTCATTATGAAAAGATTTAAATGATTTACTGAACAAAACAATTCCAAAAAAAAAAGCAATCTCACCTTAAATAGAAAATTTTTCTTGTGATCTGGACCGCACTCAAACTCCAAAATATATTGGGGAGCACCCAACTTTTTCTTCGACGCGTACTCTCCCAACAGGGAAACAGGGTGCTTGCCCTGTAAATTCTTCACAACAGGTGCACCTTTGACTTTTCTGTTCTTTCCGCGTTGCTCCTCATTAGCAACCAAACCTTTCTTATCCAATTTTACCTCCAACAGGAGTGGTTCTAGTGCCCCGGATTTTTCTTTACCCAAACCTTCTCCGGGTCTCCAACCCATTTTCTGAAGGAGATGCATTCCCATACCTCCTGATACAGGAGCAGCAGTTTGAAGTTGATCCTATACGTGATAATGAAAAAAAAATCAGTAATACTAAAATTTTCATTAATTATTAATAACTTCTTCAAGAATTCATATTTACTGAAATGCATCCTGCAATTGCCGAAGAAGAAACTACATTAAAATACACAATCTTACACTCGCAGAGAAATACTGCTGAAATTTGGGCATTATAATTTATAAAATCATCTTAATTATTATGAGCTATCCAAAACATAAATTTATCGACAAAACAACTTTTGTAATCCTTTAACAGCTGTATATTTTAACAGAATCTATGAATTGTAACAACGTAACAACCAACAGCAGCACAATTTTAACTTCCATCTATACAGTGCATTTCTTTAATATCCCCCCCTTCTATTCTTTGAACGGGTCAACTCAAAAAATTGAAATTTGGGATAATGAAATTAATGCATGAATACTTTATTTTGAAGTGAAATTGACAGATGAAACTTTCAAGATGGCGACTGAGCGCCACCTGGGAAAAAAATTAAATGGAAAGGGGGGTCTTGTGACATCATTTTGAAGCTCCTGACGAATACTTCACAACCCTATAATATGAAGTCAATATCTTCACCTACTACAAAATGGCGAAACATTTAATATCAAGACAAACATATTGTAATGAATCTGAAGCCAGCCCTGACCGATGTCCCAGTCAGCAAACGCATGACGCATTGCGAAACAGCGCGAAAGGTCCAGATGGGTCCCGAAATCCGCTGAGAGATCCGGAACGTTCGTTGACGATATAAAAAGGTCGCTCTCCGTCCCGAGGAGTAGTCTGTATTTAGAAAGTGAATCGTGCGTTTAAAGAAAGGAATCTAATTGTGAAGATAAATTAAGCGTTAGTTACTAAGAGTTGTATATAAATTAGTTGTGATAGTGAAATATTGTTAAAAATAAATTTGATAAAGACAGTTAATTCTTTAATTCGTTACAATATTAATATCAATATTTCTAGAAATATTCCTTTTTATCTGCCATATGGCAATTCCAACAACACGATAAGGTTTGTTAAGTTATCTTGTGTTTATAAAAACGTCAAAAAGTGTCAGTGCGACAATGAACATAATTTTTTAGTTAATTTATTGGTGATTACTTATGTTATTTCCTTGACAGAACATTAAATCGAAGGCTTTTCATTCTGTTTTGGATATGTGGCTGAATTTCCTTCCATTTATTACTTTTTTTTAAAGTATTATGAAATGAAATGTACATTCACATCTATTATCGTTTTATAAACTATTTTTTTTTTCTTGTGACATAAATATAAATTTATTTTTTTGGATGATAACTTATCTAAAGACTGGCACTAACCTCATTGAAAACAGTTTGATTCAATATTTTATTTCTTCATCAGTTTCGATCAAGACAGTGGTCTTATTTCAAAAGATTAGAATCAGGAGTGCCAGTCAATCTTACTTCAACTGATAAACGCGAGATCTATTCATATGCTCGTAATGAAAAGTCCTTCCATTCTCGTCAGGTTATTGAAAACATATGGCATTTATTACTATAGCAATTTTTCTTCTCAATGACTTACCAGATGTTGATACCGTGGATCTCCAAAACTTCTCGCGTTGGACCTTTGTTCAATATTTTATTGGCCTGAAACAAATTCTCAGGTGGCAAATTTCAGAAATTAGAAATCGAAAAACCGATTTCTATTTTGAGAAATTTTCCTTGCTGGATATTGATTTCCAGATTTTGTCTTTTTCATAGATCAATATGATATATGCAGAATTTGAAATCATACTGGCTTTCTCTTGAAGATAAGAATATAAAAATATCAACAGAAAACTAATGCAATGATCCTCGTTGAAAAATGGTATTATACATAAAATAGTTTTATGCGCCACTAACTATTCTAGTGAAATATTTTAAATTCGTGCCACTTATTTACTTTTTACTAATATCCAGCCCTTCGAAGAGGCACAGATTCCACTTCTGTGCACAGAAATGGTCTGTGCCTCAATGGATTAGAAATAGAAATCAGAAGTTTCTATAAAAAATCCAAAACCTGAAAATTTGTCAAAGGCAAATTGGACAGTTGGCTACTCATTTCATTTATATTAAATGCTCGAATAATCAAAAACAACTTTTAAAGAATTTACTTGAATTTTTGATCAATTTGTGATTTGGATACCTAAATGAAATATTTAGCCAATGAGGAAAGGAAGTAGGAAATATGAAAAACTCTCTTCAGCACTGAAAATCTGAAAAGACAATAATATAGACTTGTCGATAAAATACCTTTTTGGCCCAGGCCTGATAGCCTGATGACAACTCAGCCTGTGACAATATTTGAGCACCTGTTGATCCAGTAAACTGACCTAGCTGCTGTTTGCTGGTAGCCCATGACTGCATCTACAAAAACAATCCCGATCAGGTGATTCATTTTATTGCCAATATTTCGTATATATTTTTTTTATAATAAGGATGATGACTGTCCACGATATTCAAAATCATTCGTTGAGTACAACAATACTTCAAAACCCCTGTATTTTGAATTGCATTTCAAATTTTGCAACATGTTCCCAAACACTAGAAAATTGATACAGCAATATAATTGTTAACAGAATGTTTCTTCCATTCTTATATAAACTTAAACAATAACAAATTCAAATTATTTGGAAAGGCACTCAATGTGTATACTTAAGCAAAAGAGCTATGAAAGAAATTATTAAAAATTTGAGGAAACATGCAGAAGATGATCCTCCGAATACTACAGAATCTTCTAATGAAAGATAAGTTTAATAATATAATACGGTTTATTAATAACAAGCATGCAACAAGTCTACAGCCGCAACTTCTATATTTTGTCCTCCAAATATAAGTATTTCGGTACATTTCAGATTATAAGTTAGAGCTCACCTCTTTATTGGACTTGTACATCTGAGTGAGAGCCTGTACATCGTGGGGGTTTTCCTGTAATCTACGAATTGCAGTCAGTCTCTGTGAAACTATTGATCCAATATCTGCCGTAGGCTGCAACTCAATAAGTTGAAATATTAAATAATGCTTTTTCTTGAATATATCACCATTTGCATAAAATACAGATAATAGTAACATTGAAAGAATGAAATATTTTTAGTAGCTGGCATTTCCAAATGTGTTTTATTTTTTACAGGTTTAATTCATTTTATATTTCCATCTAATGATACCAGAGGAGAATCCATCGCCAGACTAACTGATGCATTTAAGATAACTCATATACGAATTTAGCTTTTTCGAAGACTATTCAATTATTCAAAGTCATATTATTAGTCATTTTGTATAGTTCCAAAGATGGAGTATCCCATGATTTATTAAATATTGCCTTCATAGCTTCATTCATTAAACGATATATTTTTTTTTGCCTTTCAGTGCAGGATGACCGAATGGTAATGAGATATCTAATTCGATGGAGAATATGAGCATTACAAATTAGAGTTAGTATAGGAGTATCTAAAAAATTCATTCTTCTGATTGCTCCCACCAGTGGAACGATCGATTCTTTAATTTTATTCATATGACTTCCAGAATATTAATTTTTATCAATTATTAGGACCAAATATTTACGATTTTCGACTTGGTTAATTAATTTGTTCTTAATTTCAAGATTCAGTTTTCAGATAAAGTTTATTTTTTGCTTGAAAATCATGAAAACTGTCTTTTCTAAATTGATTGTTTAATTGAGGTCATTTCTCAATCTTTTTCATGTCGTTACTTATATTTATTTTCAATGAAATCTCAGAATGTTTGAATGAGGAACTATCAAATATAAACGAATGGTTATGTGACAAAGGCCTCAAGTCAAATGTAAATTGAACAAAATGCATGTTAATAGGTAGCAAATATCGTTTAAGACAACTGCAAGATGAACAGCTGTCATTGAATATTTATATTGATAATGTCATCATTGAAAGAGTAACAACTTTTAAATATCTAGGAGGGATATTAGATCAAGAATTGAACCTTAATGCACACTGTAGTTATATTCAAAAGAAAATTGCCACGAAAATTCATCTTTTATAAAGATAGAAAAATAAAATAAGTGAAAATGCAAAATTAACAATTTATAAATCAATAATAGCACCCCACTTTGACTATTGCAGTACAAGACTCTATTTTGTGAGCAATGAAAATCTAAACAGACTACAGAAGCTTCAAAACAGATCCATGAGGGCAATATTAAGTTGTAATAAACGCACATCTGTGGAATACATGTTGGAAACACTGTCTATTATGTCTGTTAAACAAAAGGATAACACTGAATATGCTAATATTTATATTTAAAATTAAACACAATATGTTGCCAAATTATCTGAGTGATCAGTTAACCTACACAAGTAGTATTCATACACACTCCACTAGAAATAGAAATGGAAATTTTTATATCAACAGAGAACATATAGGTTGTGACTCGTTGTATAGTTCTGGTCTGACTGCATTTAATAATTTGCCAAGTCATATAAAAAGCTGTGATTCGTTAAATTCATTCAAAAGAAAATGTAGTGAATATATTTCAAGTAATAGTCGTCAATAATTCTTCTTGTTTTCTAGTTTCTTGTTTTTAAAATGTGACTTGTCTCTATTTTTATATTTTTTTGTTTTGTAATTTATAAGTGACTGACTGTACTATGAAGAACATTATGTGCTACAGAGAGTAATAATAATGAATTCTCATTTTTTCTGAATGAAACAGTGCAAACATGGTCTTGCACTGAGAACTATCTATCACCCATCAAACTTATATTTTTAATATTATCAACATAGAGCAAATTAAATTTCCCAATTTTTCAGCCAAAGATTGTATTATTAAGTCTTTTTCTACTATATTAGGTGTGATCAACTCATAGTTGTTTTAAAGTCTTTAATTGGAGTATATTGCAGCCTTTTTCAATAATTAAAAGTTCTTTCTCTTCAATTAGTTTCCATAAATATCGATTTTTTTCTTTCATACTTCTGATAGATTCATCTATGGCATCATTAACGTGTTCTTTATTTTCATATTTAAACTTCATAAATTGGAATCCAGACAATTTACGAGTGATGGTATTCTCCCAAAAGTTAGTTTTTTTTTTTAGTCTAGTCATTTTTAACAATATGATTTCACTGGACTACCAAAGTTTTTTAACTTGACATTCACCCAATATGTCAAATGGAAACATTCGAAATGATTCTATATATTTGTAGACAAACCAAACCAAATTTTATTTATTTCTCTTCTAACGAATTTTCTTTAACATGAATAAGTTTTTAATAAATTATTTGTTGGTTTCTACAGAAATTATAACACTTTTATCACTACTGATAAAATTGTTGAACTAATTATCTGACATTATAGCATATGTGAAGTGTATATTTCAAAATTTAAGAATGAATATAATATGAATCGGCTAGACAACCTTAGCAGTAATTGAAAGAAACAATAGTTATTCATTATTTTTTAGTTGAAAAGCATTAATATATAAAAGTACAAATATTTGTATATTTAAACACATTTGTGAGTTATGAACACATAAACTGAAAATATTTACACGAATATTTTAAAAAAATAACAAGAAAAGAAGAAACACATTTAAAATAACAAACCGACATAATACAAATGATATAACCCACTAACTCACTCACCATTTTTGTATAAGGGTCTACTTATTATCTGTATATAGTTACCTAAATAAAAAAAACAACATGAATAGAAGCCACATTACAATGTGGTCAATGATTTGATACGAATTTCAATGCAGATCAGTTTTTTCTAATATTTTACAAAGCATTTCCATACGTGATTCCCGAATCATTGTCCTAAAAAATTGAAAAGTTTCTCACTACTAACTTCAAAAAAAAAATGTATCAAATAGATTGTTTATATATCCAGTGTCAAATGATATTTTTTAGACTACACCATCACTATATTATATACAGTTTCTAATGTTTTTATGAGTTCGGTCCAGAATTCTGAAAGATTGGCTGTGACTTATTGATGATCATACTCTGGTACCATATTATTCTAGTATGAAAATTAGGAGTTAATGATTCATGAGAATTATTTTCATCAATATTTCAGTTATAGATTGACAGAATCATGACCTAAAAAATATGGAACAATCAAATTTGAAAATATTCCAAGTATCTTCAACTGATTCCAAATAATTGTTTTTTATGTATAGGTTGAAGTACTGGTTTTCACTTGAATGTTTTCTTTTTTCAAAATATATAACTTTGTATTTTTTCATACATATAAAATTATGAACATTTCTCTTAAACCAGTGTAAAATTTCATGAGCTCACCTCATTAACAGGGGTCGGGAAAACTTGCGGTCCTGGAGGTGCATTGGGTAGAGCAGAAACAGTTACAATTTTAGGTAAAACTACTGGCGGCGCCACTAGAGGAACCGGAGTAGGTTCGATCGGTAGAACAATGGAATTTGTTGGTGGTGGGACAGGAAGAGGAGGTTTATTGTCAGTCTTCTTTGCTGGTGGTGATACAGGCATCCACTCTTCTCCTTTGCGGTGTTGCTGACCGCTGCTTACGGGAAACTGAATGCGTAGCTCACTGGTCCTTTCCATACTGGATTTAATTGGAAGCGGAACCGAGTTCTGAATCAATTGAATAATTTTCAAATGTCATCATATCGTCTACCAAGAAATAGTTTTGTTTCTGACTCACCTTTATATTCATTGTTATGGAAGTGGGTCTATCCTTCAACTGGAATGGATGATGGAATGGTTTATCAGGGTCACTATCGCTATCATCTTTTTCAGATAAACTAGAAAGTTCCCCCAATTCTTCTTTCTTCGATAATGTCTTGCAAAAATCTGTCAATTCCTCTATTGTTTTGCCTCCTGATTTTATTGCTGCTATTACCTTTTCTTGTGCTTGCGGTCCTAGTGTCAATGCAGCTGGAAGGCTTCCCGATTTCATCATGGTTATGGCATTTTTTCTGGCGATTTCCAATAATTTTTTCTTGTCAAACCTTGATTCTGAATTCCTTTCATTATTTCTGTCTCTCTCGTTGTAACCTCTGTACCTGGAACATCTTTCATTTATTCTATCATTGTTTGCATTTCAGATTTGAAAAATCTGAAAATGATCCACAGTTATTAGAATTTCTTAATTTGATTTCCTTTCTTAGAAATTTCATCATAATTTATTATTAGAAGTTCTTGATATTTGAAATATTTTCTCGATACTTGTGTTGACAATATGTCTTCAAAAATAGTCGTATCATCAGGATGTGACTATTTCATGAATAAATTTATTCATTTATTACTAACCTGTCTCTCATAAACCATTTATTTTCTCTCTCTTCCTTATTACTTTCCCTTGGTTTATAAAACCCGTCATCACTGATTTTATTCCTACTCCTCTTGTAGTCCTCCAATTCTCTGCTATATTCGTCTCTATCTCTAGATATATGTTTCCTCTCCCTATGAGTGTCTTTCATTCTGCTATCTCTGTCCTGACTTCGCCTCTCTCGACTTCTACTACGATCACGACTTCTTTCTCTATGTTTTCTTCTTTCTTTACTTCTGTCCCTGAACCTAGAATCATTTCTTCTTACTTTTGAATCATCAGTTTTCATTTTCTTTTTTCGATGTTCGTCACTACTACTTCGACTGCGTTTCTTTGATTTCGACTTGTGCTTTTTCTTTTTATGGTTCGAGCTGGAATCTGATTCTGAAGCCTCTCCTTCCTCTTGTTCAATAATTTTTTCATGTATTTCTTGTATAGTTGATTCAAAAATAGAACTCAACTTTAGATCTTTTATAAATATTTTACTTTTTATTTTCTTAGTAGATCTAGAATCTTTCTTCTCTTCTTTTCCTTCCTCTTCTATATTATTTTCAACATCTTTCTCATTATTTCCTTCCACCTTAATTTTTTTTTCTGCCAAGCTTTTTTCATTTTTAATAAGAATTTTTGCAAGATCCACTTCATCATTATCACTCGAACTGCTACTAGTGTGTCTTTTCTTCTTATCTTTCTTCTTGTGTTTTTTATCCTTGTGTTTATGTTTCTTTTTCTTTTTATGTTTTTTATTATTATCAGATTTTTCCTTTTTGATAATGATAGGTGGTTTGGCATGAAATGTACTAAATAATTCAGACAAAATTTCCATGGATGATTTAATGGGTAATTCAGGTTTTTCCTCCTTTATTTCTTCAGACATATTGAAAAATATTCTGATACGGTCGGTTTTTATTTATTTTCAGTCTCCCCTATTCACAATATATTTAATGATTTATTTGAAATTTTCCATGAAGAATGGTATATCATAACAATAACAAACTTCTCCAATACGAATCATATAAACAAGAAAAGAAACATTACTCAAGATTCTCGGAAAAAGGACAGACTATAAATTACTATTTCGTGACATAACTGTCAACTGTTAGGTGTCAGGAGTATCACGGAGTAAGCGACATCTAGGTTCTTTAAGTATTTCTATTGATTTTACTATATAGACTATATACAAAGATTTTAATCATATATGGAAGGGAAGCATTTCTACCGATCATGGCCAAAATGTAATAGTCTATATACAAAGGTAATAATTTTTGTCATGACACTATTCAAAACAGCAGATCGGAATAACTTTAAACATGCTCTTTGTGTTTTGAGCTATTCAATTGTGAATTTGTGAGAGTAATGTTTTTCAATGCGTTTATTATAGACATGAGAAACTGATGAATAGAGGGAATAAATCACTTTCGCTAAGGGGAAGTATCGGTAACAGTCGTATCTGGACAATGAAGTTCCCAATAGTTGTTTAATTTATATACTGTAGTATTCACATTCTCATAATATTAAGTGAATGATATATGAAAACTCTGTTGTTTGAATAGATTCACATTTGTTTTGTCAAAATCTTTTAATGCCAGAAACGAGATTGACCCAATTAACATTATGTCGATAGATAGAACAAGAATCGTTTTCAAAACATTGCTCTACGTTCAGCACACAGAACGTTAGCATCTCTGTGAATGGAAAGCCAAAGAATGTTGGATTTTGGATTCGTTTTATGAAGAATCAAGAGTGCCGGATTGGAAATCCAGAAGTCGCCAAACAGAGAAAAGTGAAGACATGAAATCGAGTTTCGTTTCTGACATGGTGGTGGGCGAACGTGCTGATAGCGACCGCTACAAAGAAGGTACGTAGACACCATTGTTGGGGATGGAACTCAGTTCATGTTGTGAATGTCCGCCGTTTTATAACGTGCAAGCATACATAAAAAATAGTATTAATTAACATTGTTTGAGTGTTTTTAAATAAATAGTGCTCTCATTCACGCCAGTTGGAGGCCGGAGTGGACCGGATGTCCACGTGGGAGTGCTAAAGTGGAATAATTATATAATACCTACTCCCATTCACGCCGATTAGAGGCCGGAGGAGTAAGATTGCAACGGATAAACTTTCATGAAGAAGACGTTAATTTTATATGTATGTATATGTTCGCCGCAGAAAGACGTGCCTATCAAAAATTAATAATTTGGGGAAAAAATGGGGTGCAGTATTGCGATAATAGAATTACTTTAGGCCTGAGTTCCGAACGTAGAATTGTTAATAAAGATGTATTGATGTTGATGAAACCTCTCAGCAAAATTTTGAAATGGTTTCCAAAGATTTTTCGAATTGTCCAAAACTGTCAGTATCAATGTAAGTGGACTATATTTTCTTTCATATGAATTTGAATTTCGTCCAAAAGGACAATTACGCAAAAGCGTGATTTTGTTAAAAAGAGGGAGCAAATGTTGCAAGTTGAACACAACTGTGCTTACCTTGAGAATTTCAGTGACTTGTCTCGAATGATGTATATTTTCACAGCAACACCTATGTCATGCATCCCTTGAGCAGCTTTCATCGCATTGCCGACCGTGTTTGACGGAATATCGTATACGGGCGGGATGTGCGTTATAGTCATAAATGGAAGCACAGTATATCGCGGTCTGAATATTACAAATGAATACAGAATAAAATACTTCCAATTTAATTCAAACGAGAGGGAAAGACGAAACACCGTATAAATCTACGAAATTGAGAAGTAACAGGAAGAAAGGAAACAGGGGCAAAGAAAGCAGCAACGACATTACAAGCGATTTCAGAACTTCAGTGGAAACTCTCAGACGGGTTTCATAATCAGTATAATTCAATGTTTATCAAACACAAGATGTTAGCTGGAGTATTTGAAAAAAGATACATGCATGAAAAATATCAACAATAGTATTTCGTGTACGAAGGGTTCTCTAATTGAAGCTCTCCCATAAGTTGTCAAGAAATTATGGTCGATAGAATCGTTGAAAAGAGTGGTAAACACATTCTTCTGAAAGAACCAAATATAAAAATTTGCTTCTTGATTCTTGGGTTATGAGCTGCAAAATGCTTAAGAGATCCTCCGATATTTTTCATAAGGTTCACACGAAGACGTAAATAGAACCAAAACTTAAACAAATTTTGACAGAAATTGATGAAAAATGTTGAACAACAATGAAAAAGCGCAATAGGATCGGTTTAGATATTTACGGATAAATAACTCTAAAATTATGGATTATTTTGTCGGTCCATTAAAGCCTACATTGAAATGTACATAATGTGGCCATTTCTCGGTAACTTTTGATCTGTTCTGGATTTATCTCTTCCCATATCACAAATATAACTCGTCATCTGAAATTCACACAATGTTTCGATTTCTTAACGAGAAAAAAAAACTCTAGATGGAGACGAACAGCTAATATTCGAAATGCAAACACAGAAGGAAATTTTCAAAATCTCTATCAATCCACTTGTTTCTTGCAATTTTGTTGATACATCTGAAAAGAGTTTCCTCAACAGAAAGATTCAGAGGTAAATAGAATGTAGCCATTGACTTCCCACTGAAAGGTTTATACATGACTAATTATGCGGCAGATAACACAGCCATTATAATCTACATGTACTGTTGAATCATAGAATAACCTCTTACAGTGGACATTACACTGCATACTGTAGACATATGTTCACTAGTAAGACACATGAATATAACAATATCATCAGACTATCTTGTTAGTACAGGTGTATGTCCTCTTCTACGAACAGGAGGGAACAAAATTGGACTTTCATTCGTAATAATTTGTGATTTGAATTTGTATCATTCAGTTGAATATATTGTTAGTAATTCACCAAATCGTTGGTTAGTATTTTGACATTTGTTTCACCAGTTTTCAGAAAACCTTGTTTCATATCTTATTGATTTTTCAGTAGAACCATAAATGCGGTGATTTTAGAAACGCCAAACCTCATTTCTAGTTCTTTCGAAACATTGTTTCAATAATTCTCCAAACTAGTGGACAGTAGATAGCTAATATGTATCCATCAGATTCATCTGCTCTGGTTTCGATGTAATCAATGGAATTCATTAATGTACACCAATGACAAAAAGAACAGTTTGATGAAATATATCAGTTACGAGCCGGTGTAACCCGGAACAGTCTTATTGAATTACGATGAAAAACCGGTGAAAAAGAAACACACGTTTCGTGTCACGTGCACAGTAAAAGCCAAAGACCATAATGTGTCACGGGTCACGGCATGAGTCCGTGACCAAAGAGTACGTTGGTGTCTCTTGTCTAAGGTTGGTGTACTCTTTGTTCGTGATCAGACAATGACAATTGACAACCTGTCACGTGTTAGTACGTCGCTGCCGGCTGAATGATTAGAATGTTATTTTTTTAAATTCGAAACATAAATATTCATTTCGTCAGAGCACAATTATTGAAAAAAATTCTTGGTTCTTTTCACACGGGAATTGGAAAATTACAAATATTTTCAAGGTGTCATCATTTTTACCTACTTGATGGATTATGCTGAATTGCAAAAACAGGCTGATACCATTGGAAGAAAGTGGTATAGACAAGCTACACAAAGGTGAGCCTGTTATTTAGAATATATTCAAATTGTTTGAAATTCTATATACTTGGCGGAAATAACGAAACTAGTTGTCCGGTTTGTTTTGATCGACACCCAAAGTTGTCCATATTTAGGCAAACTCTTATTTCTTATTAAAATTTTGAACCAAAAAGGGTAATAAATTGCTCAATTTGATATAGTAAAGTTTCATTAAAAGGAAAAATATTGTTATTGTATTGTTTTATACGTGGATTCTTTTGTTGAAAGTAGAGAACTGCTCTGGAATTCAATATATTTTTTTGGCATATTGCCAAAGTGTCTTTTTGCCAATACAGCAAGCTGAGGAACAGTAAGCCTTGAATTTAGGAAATTTCAAAAGTAACATAGATAAAAGAACCCTTTACTGGATATTCTAAGGATGCTTTGAAATTTAATAACTTCTCACAGACAGTCCATCCTATAATGATTTATGTAAATGTTGTGTATATTAAAATAAGGATAATTAATATTTCATTTGAAGAGCTTGGAACCAATTCAATCCTATTGAAAAGAAGTTGAAAATATCTCTCTTCAGATGATTATTGTCATGTATATTCATAGTCTATTTCCTTAATCAACAGACTAATAAATAATTTTCAAGTGACGTCCATAGGTGTACATTATTTTGAACATTCAATGTTATTGAATGATTTGATGTAACAAATCTCAAAAGACTTTTTATAGTCATATTTATACAGTAAGTAACAAAAATATGGAACACTTGCATATTTTTTTTTTTCATTAAACACCTAAAATTGTTTACCAGTGTGAAGGTGGCTATGTGTTTTCATCCATGTGTTTGGTGAAAGAGAGGCGAGCGCGCTATTCCGCCATAGGTCGTTTCACCGCAATTATAAAAAATTGGTTTGAACGTATACCAAAGACGAAAATTTCGTAAAAAAATACACCGCTTTTTTTCAAAAATTGTGAATTGTTTTTCTTTTTCTTGGTGAACATGTTCATCGTCGATATTCATCGAGTAAAGTCTACTCCCTCATATCTTTCAATTGAATCTCTTTTGTAACAAATTCACTCGAAAATAAGTAGAAAAGTAACGTATTTAAAAAACACTTTATTGTGAGATTTTCGCTAAACAGTTTTACAAAAACGCTACACGTGTTTCGCCATATAATGGGCGTGTCTTTACACGTCCGAAGAAGCGTGTAACTTACATTTTTATGAACATCGGTGCTGCTAGACAAAATTATCCGGGACAGTGGTCATTGACCAGACTACTAGACTATAACAATCTTTAAAAAATGTATCTTTGGACTGATCTACTTCAACTCATCATTCATTTTGTGTCACATCCGAAATAGAAAATAATCAAGAATAACACAGCACGAGGAAAACGAATTGATCTCTTTTTATCATTGATTTTCGAATGAATATAAAAGAACATGGGATAGTGAATATTTTGTTGATATTAAGGAACATATGCTCATCATTAATTTCTGTTCACAATTAGCAGAAATCTTGATCGCCATAAAACGTTTACCGGAACCACCTTGTACGCTAAATAACGTTATCAGCACCATCGAATCTAGTGATAATGTGAGCAGGAACTCCCAATTATAATCTCCAAATCCAGNCACCGGGGTGATTGTCCAGCAAGAATCAACGGGAAGGTGAGAGTCGTGTCTTGCCAGGAAAGGAAGCATGGGGTAGGAAGGAAGATTAAATCTGGTTTAAGTGAATTCACAAGGCACCCGCAAACTTCTTTTGATCGGCGGTCATTCAAGTTCAATATAGTTTGCGAGGGTCCCGCATTTTGCAAGGTGAACTGAAAGGTGTATTTTGTAATTTTGGATAGGAAGGAACAAAATAGAAAAAGAAACTAAAAGTAAACATAACATTCGTTCTTAACCAAGACAATATAGCTGTTGCTATATTTTGTTTGCTAAACAATTTTAATTTACAAGACGAAAATATATGCTCCTTAGATTTAAAATGTCTTCCTGTAGAACGAGGTAAATTTTTAAATCGGAGTATCCTATTTTAGACCACGTTTGGTATTCGGTTTGTACGGAAAATAAAACACAGGGCCAACAAAAAAATTTTTCTCGTTTAATGGAGCCGGTTAACCAATCGCATTTATCGTACCAACTTATCCATAATAAATGGAAAAAAAACTTGCCGAAAAGTGAAAACCTGAAAACATGTTGAAATTGAAAGAAGACACTTTAAAAACACATTAAAAATAGTACCAAAAAGCACTGCTATAATACAATACTGCCTGTTTTATACACAAATAATATCAAGAAACACTAAAACGATTTACCGAAATATTTTTCAGTCCCGATCCATCACGGCATCCCGTCCGAATAATTAAATAAAAAACAAACGCAGTCGTACACTAACGGAGACCAACCGGAGGCTAGCCTCCTCTAACGCTATAATTTCTGCAATTAAAATTACAAATCGGGACGTATGTCGCTGGTTGGATCGGTCTAGCGGAGCTTGTGTTTTTTTTAGCGGCCGGAGGCTTGGCTCCCTTGCAACGTATGTCATTTATTATTTCGGTTTGATGGTTTATTCGTTCATGGACGGTGCGTTTGAGGTTTACTGATGCAGGATACAGTGTGGTACGTACTACGTAGTTAGTGATAGTGTTTCTTCGGGCATATTATGTATTTATACTAAAAATTAATGGTAAATCATTTTTAGAAAAAAATAGAATAAAATTTTTGACTGTACTTACGTATTTTGAAGTTTCACGGATTCAGTGGTGGGGTTGACGTTAGTTTCACAGATAGATTTGCAAGTGGGTCGAGGAAGGGAAATGGGTTGATCGGAAAGTTGAGTGATGCGAAATAGTGGAACCTATGCTTTTCTTGTGGTTTATCAATATGAAATAGAAAATTGAGTTGCAGAATATTATGCTTGTGAATAAAAAGGTTTATACAAGTCACCCAAAGGGTCCTAGGCTTGAATCAACAATTGTTTAAATCCTCACAAGTAACAGGAATCGAACTTGCTTCCAGCATATCAGCGATTTCATCACACCAACTCAATAACTTACAAGCTACCTACCAACAAAATTATTGATGTCTCCTCAGTAGGTGCTCAATCGAGAACACTCAATATCATAATTTTATTCTGTATTCAATTCTAAACTATGCATGCACATCTAATCATTATTATGTAAATATTTTGGAATTGAAATGTTATAGCAATATTGATATTATATCATCAAATACGCAAACGCACGCCACTGTAGGTAGAAAACGACCCGAACGCTCATGAAATCTTTTGTTTGCCACCCGTTTGCGATAAAAAATGGAGCGGACCCGGTGCAATATTATAAACCGCCTAAAGGTTAGGTTCGGCTAGGTCCAAAGTGAGTGGGTCCATCGAACCTCCACCGCAACCCGCAAGGGTTTATTGTGGCGCACACCTATTCACATTTGACCAAATAAATCCAGCTTCCTAACGAAGCCGATAACATTGAATAGTGAGTGGTATTTCAGGTCAGATAGTAGGAGTAAGGCTCTGCCGAATTCTAAAAACCTGATTCGGTCCCCAGCGGGGCAGGCACAATGTAGGTGCTCTGCTCTTTTATCATTTTCCAAACAGAGGCGATTCAAATGACAGTGACCTATAAAAAGGTCTGTTAGACATCGTAGTTTATCCCTACTGTAGTCCAACAACTGGTTGATATCAAGCTTCGAAGGGTAAACAAACGCCTTGGAGTGAGCCAATCCTAGAAGATTCTGCCGGAGGTCCATAAATGTTCTTGCCATCCAGGTGTACAATCTTTGTTTGGCAAAGCCTAAAGCGATGCCGATGACAGGTTCTGGTCCGATGAAGCTGCTTGCAGCATCCTCCTCTGCAAGGGAGACAGCTGAGCTTAGCTGTTTGTTTTATAATATATGAAAAATGTTTGTAATTTTTTTACGTATTTGAATACAGATATCTGACAAATATGTCTACATTTTTTCTTCGAATTCTCAAGGCAACAACTCTACAAATTTTCTAGCTCCTTTGTTAACTCAACTTTTGACTCTAAGTTTGGCAATAATTCTGTCCGATTGCCGATGTGGTAATATTACTTCGGACTAGTGAAAATAAACAAATTATCTTATCGTCAGTGACCCCCCGGCATTGCCAAACAAGTACGTCACCCGAAGAACGACAGTTGCCTCGACGAGAGCAGAACAGTCGGTCGGTGTTAAAATATTGAATGGCAAATTTTTTATCCAAACGGGACTCGATAACGGAAGATTTTGCAAATTTTCTTATCTAATCTCTCGCCAAGATTATCTACAAACTTTTTTTCATTTTACATAATACGAACATCAGATATTTTGTTAACCCCTGTTGAGCTAGCAGAACCACTTTGGACTTTTAAATTTATTTTCAAGCCATTATTCTGGATTAATTTCGTTCTCAGTTTCAGAATTGTTTATAGTTTATACGAAGTCAATTCGAATGGCATAAAAAATAAATATTTCTTTGAAAGTGGTTGACAATGTTTCGTGGTGTATTTCATCAGTTCGACGATTGTTAGTATCCACAATCGTCTTCGGGTGATAACTGGACTTATTCCTCCGAAATCTGACTATTTATAGGTCGCTCGAGTGCTTTCACCTTTCCCCCCAACACTTTTTCCGCTTCATTGGTTTTTAGCGGGAGATGACCGTTTGGCGGGGATTGGTCGTTTTTTTGCTTGATTAGAGGTCTCCATATGTTACGTATCTCTACGCTAGCTTGACTAAATGCGTTGTTGGACAAAATATATGCGGCTTCTTTGAATTTTCTCCTAAACCAGTGTTCCTCTTTGTGGATGATTTCAGCTTGAGCTCACTTAATGTTATCCGGATTTGCTGGTTTCTCCTCGCTGTGTGTGTTTATTGTGCTCAGCAATGCGAACTTTCAATGGCCTCTTAGTTTCACCGATGTATGATTCGCCGCACTCGCAGGGTACCCGGTAAATGCAATTCTTGGAATCGCAGTCCGCGTTTGGTGGCTTGGTTTTT